AAAATAATCTATTCAACCTTGCCACAGGTAGAATTTCTGATACCTTCACAAGCAGCTACATTTACAAACTTGATTAATTTCTAAAGTCTACATTACTTGCTGATATATCAGACCAACTGCAATTAACTTACACATCAAAACCACTGAAATCTGTATGGAAATCAAAATGTTCAAAAATGTGGCAATCTGATTTTTCTAAAACAAATGAGAATTTCACAAGATACCTAAAGCAAATCAAGGTACCTAAGTCAAATCAGTATCCATATATTATGCTATATTGCAGCTTCTTTTTATAAGGGCACCAGAAATAAAAAACTGACACTCAAGTACGCTTATAAATCAAATTATGTATTAAATTAGTACTACAAGATTAACACACACCCAACCTCATACTCTAGGGCAAACCATTTCCAGATTTACATTAGCCATCCTAAAGGCAATTAAAAGATATTCCAGATTCTAAACTGGAGAGATTTCCTTTATAGCAGATCAGTTAACTAAGACTTAATGAGAAGTACTTTTTGAGCTGCATCAAATAAATAACATGAATATGCAGACCAGATAGCAAGAACAGAAACAAAAGAATGTTACTATAATATTCATATACAGTATCTACACAAAATTTGAACTGAGCAGACAGATGGTAGATGAAGTTTGTAAGTAGGCTCCACATTTGATTCCCTTGCTATTAATAGAAGCCTCGGCTGTAGTGGCCAAGGTTATATCAGGCTAGGCACACTCCAGTTTCCTAAGTCCACCATGAAGGCCTCCTAACTTTGACATGGAAAGCATGACCTTCGTAATTGTGCAGTTGATTTACATACACAAAGTTAAACACTATCTAAACATGCCGCATTGTAGCAATTCAAGTCAATAGGCAAAACTCTGTGTGCTTGCACACATTAATGTTTTTGCACTGGTTTAAGCTTAATTTACTTTGTCTTGCACAGCAAACAAAGTTTCTAGTTCACTTAATTGCAACGGCATGACATCAGTTCTTATCTACATAAGCAGAAGTGACCTTATTTTAAACGCAGACACCCCATATGCTGTCATGTATTGTCCTCCTTATACATCCAAGAGGACTGGAAAATCTACTGCTCAACACCACATGTTGTTTCTGAACAAATATTATGCAATTCTTTATCTTTAGTGACCAAAACTCCTGAAGGGACCTACCTCACAAACAAGACAACTTCCTCTCAAATTCTACCATTAAAAGTAATAAGTAGGGTACACAGAAATAAGAAGATTGTTACTCCCTTGGGGTCTGCATCTGCTAGATCTTGCATTTGCAATTTGCAATCGCAAATTTAACAGCATTTTTTATTTCTTCTTTATTAGACCAGCTTTCCTCAAGAAGAAAACTGTTTAAAATAAGAAAAGACAACTGTGAAAGCCATATAGTCTGGGATGAGAGCAGCATCACAAGTCATTTTAATATTCACCCTAAAGTAGTTCAATCTGTGTGTGCTCTGTTAAAATCCTGCCACTAAGAGGAGCTCTAAGTCTATTCCACAAAGCACAGTGGAAGAAGTAGTATTAATTTTTTTTCCTACTTCGCAAGATCAAGGGAAACACTTCAGTAATGCTGAGGAAAACAGAATCACCACAAGTTGAAAAACCGATAAAGAAAGAATCACTTCAGCAGTAGCAATTTGAAACCACTGAAGAAAAACTGAAAACAAAAGGAGGGAAAAAATTCCGCCATTGGAGGAAGTCTATCAGTAGGAAGAGTCCACCAAAACAGAATGAATAAATAATGAAGGCAGATAGCAAGGGAAAGAAAAGGTGAGAAAAGGTGAGAAACAAAAACTGAAGCCATCTCAAGGTCTGCAGCAGGAGAATGGTGATTAGAAACGCAAAGAATAGTCAAGGCAACAACACTCAAGAAACAGAAAAAGCATAATTAATGAAATCTCTAAGTAGGAGTGCAAAAAGAGAAGGAATCTTAAGGTGCTGAGCGAATGATACAGAATTATAGACTGTAAATTTGCAAAAACAAGAAGAGAACCAAGGAAAATGTTTTAAAATATCTCTACGTTCCTAGTGTTTTCTGCTAGGTATGCCACAACTTAGAATTCAACATCATACCATCTCATCCAGGCTAAGACAGCAAAGACTATTCCAGAAGGCTTGTCAGAAGAGAATCCTCATTCAAGCACTCCAAACTGTCATCTAGTGAAGCCTTTAGCTAGCTAGTGAATCAAACAGGAACACAAGGAGATCCAAGAGATACTCAGTTGTAAAATTTTAAGTTTACTGGCTAGGTATCACCTTCATCCAGTAACTGGTTGACTGATCTTTCCTTTCACCATTGAGTACATATGAGAACAAAGGAGGGTTTAATGAAGTACCCAATTCCTCTTCTTCTGACCAGGCACTTCAGTCCTGCCTCCAGTAGGTCAGAATACAAAAGATCTTTGACTTCCACAAAACCCTGCCCTGCTGTATTCATCCAAGCATTACCACTTTCCTTGATTTAAAGCTAAGGTGGCAAATTGAACTGCAGGCTGGGAAATCACAAAAAATTGGCTCCCTCTTATTCAATCTGTTCACTTTGGCTTATCTGCTCACATGCTGTCCCAAAGTATTTTGACTTCACGGCTAGCTGTGTTAGGCCAAGGCTGCTAGCTGGAAGTGACAGGTACTGCCTCCCGTGCACTCTGCCTTATCAACTTCCCTGAAGGCTGGCACCCGGTGCAAAGGCAACAAATTCGCACGAGCGTCCTAAAAAAAAAGGCGCACACACACACACCAACAAAGCCACCTTGCCGAACCCCGGCAGACTCCTCGCCCAGCCCATGGTCCGAGCCGCAGCCAGGGATGGAGGGAGGCGGCCCCGGAGGCGGCAGGGGCCTCCCTCACTACCCTTCCTCAGGGCGGCTGCGGGCCGGGGCCGAGCTGCCGGCACGGCCCGAGCACAGCTCCGCCGCCCGCGGGGCCGCCCCCGCCGGCAGGTGCCCGCCCGCCCCGCCGCGGCCGCCCCGCGCTCACCCGGCCTCCCGCATGACGTTGCTGTCGCCGCAGTCGCAGGCTCCCCCCGCCTGGCTCCGGAACATGTTGTAGTCGTGCCCGGCGTGCTCGCCCTGGTGGAAGCACTCGGCGCACAGGCTCATGCAAGGCGAGATCCCGCACGTCCGGCACCGGTAGGCCACGAAGTTGGCGGTCCAAACCAGGCCGCATAGCGTGGCCGGGTCGTAGGCCCGCACGGCTTGCACGAAGCTGTCCCAGGGCTCCCCGCCCGAGAGCAGGCAGCGGCACCACTCCAGCGCCTCGCCCGCCGCCTCGCCGCCGCCCGGGCCCGCCGCCGGGGCCAGCACCCGCTCCAGCAGCGCCCGCAGCTCCGCCGCCGCCGCCGCCGCCGCACCGCTCTCGCCGCCCAGCGCCGCCTTCAGCTGCGCCGCCGTCTCCCACTTGTCCCTGCTGCTGGCGCCGGCCCCCGCCATGACGGGACACCGAGGGGCCGTTACGGCCGCGCCGGGTTCCAGATCCGCGATCCCTCCGCCGCCCTCGCTCCCCGCCCCGCGGCGCCGCCCTCTCGCGATAGCCGCGGCACCGGCGCCCTGCCCGCCGCCCGCGCCCCCCTCCCGACACCGCCTCTCCCCTCCCCTGACACCACCCTCCTCTTCCTCCGCCCCGGCCCTCCCGCCGCCCTCCCAGCGCGCAGGTGCGCGCCCCGCGCCGCCGCCGCACGAAATGTCGCCGCCCGCCGGCCCGAACCTTCATGTCCGTGCCGGGGTCCCGGCACCCGCAGGGGGTACCTGGGCCGGCCGGCGGCCCCGACGGCAGCGGAGCTCGTTTGTTACCGAGCCGTGCCCGCAGCGAAGCGGCCGCCCATGTATCCTGGCCACAAGGGTCCCGCCGGGCTCAGGTGGTGGCGGCTTTGAGGGCAGGAGCAACTGCGGGGAACGTGGGAGGCACCTCTGAGGCTTCGGGCCGGTGGTTCTGTGCTCGCTGCCATCAAGCGGCCCTGCTGGGGGTGCAGAGCAGCGCCGGGTTCCGGCAGCAGCTCCGCACCTCGGGGTGTCCGCGGAGCCGCGCCCCGAGGTACCAGCGTGCGGCTGCCTGCACGCTCCCACCAGGAGAGAACGCATGTGGATGCGAGTTACTGTGTTTCGCACACCGCTCGGCGGTTTTAAACTTCGATAAATAGATTTTCAACTGTGCAATGGAAAACCTTATACGAAAAAAATCTATTTCTAAACGAGAGTAATCTTCTACCCGACAGCTACGGGCCCTAAGGCAGCTGCCTCTCTTCTGGCTTTGCCTGCCTTTCCCTATGGCTGCCCGTCTGCTGGCGGCTTGTGTCGCGTTGCGGTTCCAGGTGAATGTTACTCTTCTCTCAACGACCGCTTTTCCCAGTGCACCGGCAGAATTCCAGTTCCTTTCCCTGTCCCTAAGGGCACTCGGAGCGGGACCCCCGAGAAAGCCCGGTCTGCCAGGTGTGTCCTCCGGCGCTTTCTCAGGCACCACGCAACGGTGACGCGTAAGGCTGCAATAAAATATCTCGTGTTTATAATACACGAGGCCAAAGTTCGCACTGGTTAAGGACACACGGAGAAGTTCCCCGGCGTTTCATTCCCGCAGCTGCCCGACAGCCCGGGAAGGAAAGGGAAGGGGCGGTGCGCGCCGGGGGCGCGCGGCGCGGCGGAAGTGCGCGGCGGCGCTCGGAGCTGCCGGTCCGGCCCCTGCGCCCGGCCCGGGCGAGCTGCGGTGAGTGGGCCCGGTACCGAGCGAGGCCTGGCGGAGCGGGGACGGTGCAGGTGGCGGCGGTCGCTGGGGCTCGGTTCTTAGGGCTGGGCGGCGGGCGGGCTCGGGCGGTAGAAGCGGAGCCCGGGGCCTGAACTCCGGGAGCCGGTGAGGAGAGGGACTGCCGGCGCCCGGGTCCGCGCTCCTTCTCCGTCATCGGTGCGCCGCCAGCTGCGTCCCGGGAAACGGCAGCGTGAAAACAGCCGGGAGATGCTGAAGAGTACCAGGGCATTTAAAGTATGAAATAATTAAAGATCATGTGTAGTTTATTTATATTGTTGTAACTGATTACACATTATTTTCATTAGTTAAATCACAAACATGAAGAAATTAAAGCTTAAAGAACTGGAAAGCTGCCTTCAACAAGTCGATACTTTTGAAAGTCCAAAGCTACTCCTTGAACAGTATGCAACAAGACCTCATATTGCAGGTAGAGGTGACCCACGCCACTGTTTCCTCTTTTACTAGTTCATCAGCACTTTTAATTCAAAAAGATTTTTTTCTACTGCATTGTCTCCTTTGAAGGCTTTACGCCAAAAGTAATTAAGAAAGTATATCCAACAGGAATGTGTATAGTAGTATTCTGGTAATGTCCAAAATTCAAATAAATTGATCTAAAAGATATTGTTGTGATAGAGGCAATCTTAATCTGTAACTGTAGAAGCTGAAATGGAGTTACGTCATGACCTACAAAACCAGTAAAAGAGTCTATACAGAAATTCATCTATACCTTAATTATGTTCTTTTCCATATTTTATATCCTTCTATTGTTTTTCTCCCAGGCTTTTTCCACAAGCAATACTCGGAGCTCTGTCTCTCCACCAAAGACCCACAGTTTGTAACTCGTCAAAATGTTTTTGACTCTTCACATATAAATGAAAATGAGAATATTACAGGCTGTGAGAGGGTTTTCTAATGCAAAATTAAGTTTTCTGAAGGCAGAAACAGCTTTTCTTGATTAATCATGTACATGTTCGGTATTATTAACCTATTTTGTTTGGGTTTTTTTCCCCCAGCATGTATGCTTTATACAATTCACAATACTTTTGATGATATTGAAAACAAAACAATTGCAGATTTAGGATGTGGTTGTGGCATGCTCAGCATTGGAAGTGCAATGTTAGGAGCAGGGTAAGTATTCAATATTAAGTTATTTAATATTAAGGTTCTTTTTTTCTGGCATAGAAGAGTAGAAAGTAAGATTAAAACATAGCTACATTTCAGATGCATAGTCAGGCTATTTACCAAGTTTTGACTGCCAATAACCATTTATACTGTCAAAGTGATGGACAGCTGTAATGAATTTGGAAGTCATTTGCTTTCCCTATAAGCATTATAGGAACACATGAAACTTCCTTAATAAAATTTAGATTTATACTTGAGAAAGGGCGACAGAAGTACTTGAATTTTTATCAGCACTGAATTTATAATATATGCTTGTTACATTTCCTAGATAAAACAAGTTGGGTACACAGATACTGTTGAATTTAAATACCATTTTAGTTTGTAGTAGACTAATACGTGGCATTTTCCTTTTTTTAATAGATTCTGTGTGGGGTTTGACATAGATGCAGATGCACTGGAAATATTTAATAGTAATATTGAGGACTTTGAGCTTACGAATGTCAACATGGTTCAGTGTGACATCTGTTCTTTATCTGAGAGCATGTCAGATACTTTTGACACAGTTATTATGAACCCTCCCTTTGGTACCAAGCATAACAAAGGTTGGTAACTGTGAAACTCAGAAATTATTACAAATGAAACAGCAAGAGAAATGCTTTCAATGAAACATCTGCCTTCATTATTAGTTACATAATCTAATTACTTAATGTTTTATTGATCTGGATTCAGCCTCTTAAGATTAACAGCTTCAACGTTGTAACTAACAGTCACTGGAGTTTGAAATAAACAATACTAGATATTTCATATCCCTATCATTTTTATTAAAAGCAATTGAGTATGTTTTAGAAATATTTTCTTTACCTTAATGAATTCAGTGCTGTTTCTCAAGTACCTGTTATTCCAGAAAAAATAAAGCAGATCTTTGAGCTTCCATTTAACAATTCTAATAATTTCATCATTCTTTCAGGAATTGATATGATTTTTCTGAAAACTGCTCTACAAATGGCAAAAACAGCTGTATATTCCCTTCACAAAACTTCAACACGGCAGGTAAGTTCTTCATTTTAGTAGAACAAGGATAACCAGACAACAAAATAGTTGGCTTTATATCTATAGCTTCACTGATTTGCTAACTACTTTGTGGGGTATGTTTGGGGTAAATACTAATAGCATCTCTCACATACAGCAAGATAACTATGTCACCTAATGCTTCGGCTTGAAAATCAAAAGCATGGGAGAAATAAGTTCAGAGGTGTAGATGTTTATAAAACATAATTTTAAAACCTCATTTCTATACTATCTACTATTGTAGCACATTCAAAAGAAAGCAGCAGAATGGGAAGTGAAGATGGAAGTCTTAGCAGGTAATATTTATTAATTGTCAACATAAAACAAAAACCTTTTGTTTTGGGATATTATCTCTAACACTACCAGCGAATCATAACAGCCTGAGATAAATTTAAGTGTTATTTAACACAGAAATGACACAGGTCTCTTTATAGCAGACTTTTACGTTTTTTGCTACGTGGCTAGAATACAACAGGCACTTAATAAAGCTCTAAGGAATACATATTCTGTGCAGTTAGGTTTGGTTTTGGACTAGATTTTGTCTTCAAGCAGAAGTTACCTCTCTTCCTGCTTCAAAGGGAGTGTTGCTGAAAAAGAAAAGTGAAGCACTTGTCAGTTCTCACACACAAAAAAAGCATCCTGTCCTTAGTCCCCTAAGTATTTTTGACAGTTATGTATCTTCCCAGTTTTTCAGTACCACTAACCAGATGCTTTTTACAGTTATAGAACTTGAGATGTGAAGTTGCACAAGTGCTTGAAACACAACTGCATTTCAGCCATCCACTTAACTGTCTGATGTGGACAGCTTCAATGTTTAGTCATCATCTAGTGCAGAGATAAAACAGGTATGACAGGCCACAACAGATGCAGACATTAGAAACAGAAGTACATGGCTATAGGGCTTAAGTGGCTGATTATCATCCTAGTCTAACATACATTCTTTATACTGTTCACAGAACTTAGGTTTGATTTACCAGCATCGTACAAGTTCCATAAGAAGAAATCAGTAAGTATAAAACCTAACATAACTGATAAAATACTGAGGTAAATAAATTCTCCTTAATGAAATTTAAGTTTTAGAGCCATATGTACTGGATGAATGCTCACAGCATTCAGTCACATCATTGCTGTCACTACGTTTTGTAGCAGAACAGGGAAAAGTATGATAATGCCAGTCAAAGCTATACACAAAGATTAAAGCCAGCACTGCAATTAGATGTGATAAAGCTAAGGGTAGCCTCTCCTTGACTCAACTCCTAATAGCTATTTGCTCAACCCTAGCTGTAGCTTGGACTTGGAGTGAATGAAGTGCTGAAGGCCACAGTAACAAGCATGTTACAGCAGTAGCATTATTTCAGGGCCAGCAGGAGAAACTCATGCACTTCATCCCACTGTTAAAAGATATAGTCAAGACACTACAGTAGGGTAGTCTAAGCCCACAGCAAGTTCCTGGCTACTAAATGCTGGCCTGGAAGCCATGTATCCCCTCCCCTTACCATAAGGGAAGTAGAGAAGAGACAGAGCAATAATTGAAGACTGTTAGGTATGTTGAGCAGCAAAGAACAAAAGCTTTAATCAGCTGATGACGATGCTCTTGGTGACTCGAACTTAAAATTATTTAAGTCTGTCCTTACCTTTACTACTTCACAGTTGAAACATTATACTGTATTAACCAGGCTTCAGTAAAAAGCAGTTTGAAGTTCTGAATTTATTGCCAGCTGCTATTAAACATAACCACAAGATTACAAAGTCCAAAACCTTTTACATTTGAATGAGATGCCAGCAAAATTGAGAAGATTTGACAGTATAAACAAAACTATAAATAGAAAAGTTTTACAGGGTTTTATGTTAGGAGTAAGCATGCTTCTGAAACAAAAAAAGAAAGCTGTAACCCAATAAAATGAAGCTTTTCTCTAATTGTAGGTTGACATTGAAGTGGATTTCATTAGATTTTCTGACAAGAAAGTCCTGAAGTGAGGCATGTCTTTAAAACCTATTGAAAATGGAAAAATAAAACCACCAATTTTTTTAATTCTTTTGAGTATTACTGATTGCCATCTCCATTTTCTGTTTTCAGTTGTTTTGGTGCAGGTTCTTCCTTTTCTGTTTCCTCTAGTGGTCTCTTCTTGGGACTTGCTGGTTCTGCAAGATTGAATATGTAGTCATTTAGGGAAAAGGAAAGCTTTGCCTGAAATCTTCTGAAAAAAACCCAATCTCTTCCCCCTATGTAAGCTTGAGTCTCAGTTATCTACACCCACAGCTACACTAGAGGGTTTGCTTATTACTGTGACTAAAGCTTTTAGATGTTCTAAAATTTGAACATATGACAAGCTTCACCCACCCCTGTCTTAACTCCACAGCAGGAGGGCAGGGGAGAAAATGAAGGACTAGAATCTACATGAAGTAGGGTTTACTGGGTTTGAGTTAAGCACGTGCTGCACATAATGGACAGAAGCTTAGCTCTTCCTCTGCTCCAAGCTAAATACTGACAGGGCAAACTATTAAATCTTCTCTTATCCTTAAGGGGAAAAAAAATCACCACTCAGGAGACTGAGTCTGTACAGTTCTGTAATGCTGCTTACAACCACCATCTCTCAATGCATAATGTTTTAAACAGCTGTGCAGTATAGCCTTATCTATCTAGTAATGACCTTAATATGCTTTTTGGACAGTTGTGGAAAGAATCAAGTACAAGACTCTTAAGGCAGATCCTGTCCGGAGGACAGAAATGCTACAAAGCAGAGCCAAATCTGAAACATGAAAGAAACATGAGTACATGGAGCTACTCTCTGTAAAAAATAAGCTGCATCAAGTGCACAGAACGACATACCTGTTTTAGTCTCATTTTCACCATCTTCTTCGTCATTCTCAAACTTTATCTTCTTACCCTGAAACTGTATTTTTCCTTTTTGTGCACCCTGAGGTATCTTCCCCCCTCTTCCTTTTCCTTTAATTTTGCGCCCTGTGGAGATACAAGATCAGGAACTTTGTATCATTTAACTGGCCAGCTGCAGAGACTGCTTTACAGTTAAGGACAGTAAGCAGTATATATTCACTACTTAAAAGTTAATTTCATACATCAATTCTAGGACATTATAAAGGCTTAAATTAATAAGAGGAAGGAGAACCTTTTGTTTTCTGTTTCAGCAACTCCTGCTGATCTTCCAAGATTTTTTTCAGAGCTTCTTTCTCTGCATCTCCTTCTATCACTTCCCATGCAACATCCTTGTTCCGGAGCTGCAAGTTTCCATTATGTGCTGCTTTGGCTTTTTCCAGAGCTTCTTTGGCAATATCCTTAAATAGGATAATTCCCTTTAAAAGAAGAGTGGCATTTGTATTTTAATCTTACTGCAAAAACATTCAGCTAGAATGATGGACAATATATCCTGTTAAGTGCCTCAGCAAATTCATTAATCTTGTATGATTGTAAAACATGTCTAGACTGAAGCAAAGCCCCCAGCCTGAGCTAATGGACATTCTGTTTTGACCTTATCAACTAACAAGACTGGAACCTTTATCTGTTCTTTTGAAAGAAGTAAAGGGAATAATTTAATTCTCTAAATATTCTGCAATTTCTCAAGACAATAACTTACTTCATAACATAAAAGAAGAAACATTTAATCATTCATTTTCAAATTTCAATACATAGATCTTAGGTCTAAGATTACTGACCTCCTTTGCACCTCTAACAAAGTGTATCCACTTGATTTCTCCGTGACCAGAAAACACATCATGGAGGTCTTCTCTGCATGTTTGGTCATCTAGATCACCAGAAAACTTCAAAAGACATCCTGTCTTTTCTTCCAGAGACTTCTAAATTAAATTAAAAAGCCCCATATTATCACTGAAGAGTCAAGTTTGAATATTCATATTCTCCCCTCAATCCTATTAAACATGACAGCGATAAAAAAGCAGTTGAAGTTAGAGTAATTAAAGCATTTTTTCCTACATAACCTAGTTCTGCTAATGTCCAAGTCCTGTACAGAGTGTCCCCCGTCCTTTTTTTGAGTATTCTTTGCTTACTGTGATACACTTACATGGAACTTAGAACTCCTTTCCCATATGAATTACACTCTTTAAATTTTACAAAACAGCTTTCTGAAGGCTGATAAGTTGAAAATTTATATAATATCAATTAAATCCTTAATGGAGCTTTTAAATACTGTAGAAAAACAATCATCTCAATGGTGTATTCAGGATCACTCTGAACAGGCAAACATTTCTAATAATGTAAATTCAGGACATGAGCCTTTAAACAAAATTAGTCTATTGAAAATAAGATTAAAACACCATGACAAAACAGTCTTACTGTAAGCTGGAAATGCTGAAGTGACTTTCTAGAAAGTGGTCTATATTACAGCATTTCAAACAGAATATTCCATGTTAGCTTTATAAAATGTAGATGATTTAAGAAACTCATACCATTTCAGCATCTGCTGCTTGTTTCTGCTTTTCTTCTTTTTCCCTGCAAAAAAGTTAAATTAGTTATGAGTCAGTTCAAGCATGGTCAGACAAGCAGAACACACACTTTGATTGACAATGACTCACTGTTTAGCTCTTGCTTTCGCTTCTACTTTGTTTTGTTTCCTTTCTTCATTCTTCTTTGTACAATACTCCTCCCTTCAATAAAATATGTTAATTTAAAACACTTAATATAAAATTATAAAATACTTATAATTAGTTTGTAATACAGCAGTAGACATGAAACAGTTGAAATTATTTTCCCAAGTTGAGATGCTAAGTCTCCAAAAGGTACATCCATCAATGCCTGTACAACAGCATGAAAAACTTACTTCTCAGGCCAAGCCAGGTTCTTGTCTAAATCCACCCTTGACCACTGTTAGTTCATGCATCAATTAAGTGGACTTACTTGAAAAGTACTATCAGCTCTGTGTCTTTGTACTTTTGATTTGGTATCTCTGTGAACTTCTTAGCAGATTCAACACTATCAAAAACTGCAAATATTGAGCCCTGTTAAATGATAAGAGATATTGTTAAGAGTAATTGAACAGAATATTGTCTAGGAGGGATTCCTGCCCCAGGTCTAAATGCTCATCATTACCTTAAACGTTCTCTGCAATGTTCTCCTCATTTGAATATTTTCAACTGGACCTTTATCCTCAAGCCATTCTTTGATATCATCAAGAGTTGCATCTAATGGAAAGCCTTTCTGCAAGACAGCAGTGAGCTTCAATTATATGCCACCAAGTGACTCTTAAAAATTATAACCTCTATAGTACAAGTTAATTCAAGCTACATTCTCAGATGGTTACCACGTAAAGTCATGCAGGACAACACTAAGTAAAGAAAAATTTACTTACAACGTATACAGATCTGTTTTTAATTGCAGCCTTATACTGGTCATTTAATTCAGGAAGGGGTTTATTTGGAGATCTTCTGATTTTAGTTTTGTCATCATTTATTTCCATTAAACCAGTCTTGGATTTTCTTAGTGCTTCTACAATCACATCAAAATCTTTTGAAAGGCGACTTAACCTATTGAGTAAGCAGACAGAGGTTATTACAAATACACAGGCAAAACTGAAGCCAGACGTTAAGAAAAGCGACGGGAATTGTAAATGCACATCAGGAACACTTGGCCCAAAATACAGACAGGTAGCTGAAAGTTACTCTTTTATCCACCTTAGTTGTTCTTTGCTTTACCTGTTGAATTTGATCATTACTTCTAAAGGTACCCAGCCATCATCTAGTTTGATCTGTTCCTTTAGAAACTTGTCTCTTGGCAGATTGTGATTGCCAAAATAGTACTGCAAAAAGAAGGGGGAAAGGGGAGGAAAGAGAGATGTCTCTTTAAATTTTCAGTCTTAAAAGCTTGTTTTCATCTAACAGCTTATTGCAATAGATTGAGAGATACCAAAATCAATTAATCTGAACATCTGGGAATTCTGAAATTATTACTTCCTGCTTTAATGTGATACTTTGCCAAAAGTTAGCTGCAATGTGTAAGCTGTAAAAACAAAACTACCTGAAACAAACCCCATAAAAACCCAAACCAACCAACTCCACACCAGAACAGTGCTTCATCCAAAGGAATTAATAAGGCAAAGATAAATTGCAATTTTGTCTATGAAAGGAGCAAAGCTTAATCTGTTAACATGATATGCATTCATGACCCTGATCAAACTCTGCAGAGTCAAAAGTCAAATTTGTCACCAGCAGATCCAGGTTATATTTCTTATTTAAGAAGTATGTATGCAAGAATATTGTATTTTCACAATGAAAAATCATACACATAGACTGGAATTTCTAGGTCTCATTCAAGAAAACACAGATAAATCATTATTTTTAATTTTTAATTTTATTTCATTATTATGTTCTTATCTCAATCTTATCTGGCATGGGAAGACAATTCAGTTCACGACAGACAAGTTAAGCAGATTCTTTCCCTGACTAGCAGTCATCTAGCAAAGGTCAAATACTTGAAACCATAAGATAAGTTGGAATATTTTCACCAATATCATGGTGCTTTGAAAAGCCAGCACAAGTTTTACAACACTGCCTCTTCCTCTAGTACATCTCAAACTCACATTACCAAAAGTCTAGTTTTGTCACCTATTTATATATAACAAAAAAAATATAGTGGTTGAGGAATCTCCACATTTTGTTATACATAAATAATGCTCCATATGGTTATGGGCATTCATGTGCAGCTACATTTTTGTCCTTCAGGAAAGTGGTTTTGTTATAGATGCCATTTAAAGCAATGGGATCATGTTTTTTGTTGTAGGGTAACCCTCCAAGCCTCTAGAGAGACAAAGAGTTAATCCAAAGTAGGCATATAAGCTTAGTTGTAATTTGTAGCAATAAAATACAAAGCAGTAAATCATAATAGCAAGTTATGTGCTAGTATTTTCACCAGCAGAGGTTCTCGAGCAGGATTTTTTCCCTACAAAAATTAAGGCACATAGAATTAAAATGCACTCTCCTATTTGCACAGGTAGAATAACCCCAGTAAACATGGTAGTAAATTGTTTAATGATTCACTTGCTAGCACCTAAAATGCTAGCAAATGAAACCTTTTCTGTTTTGAAATGGTGTTCTTACAAGCAACTCTTGACAAGTATAGCTTCCAACTTAAACTACAAATTATGACTATCCTAAAGTATTAAATACCTCTTACAGGCTTGTGACATTTTTAAAGAGCTGAAGATTTGAGTCTAACTCCCAATAAAGTTAACTTCCAGTTAGCCAAGCCCCTGCCAATGAATATCCCCAAAACACCTCAGTCCAGATCCCAAACTATAAACTGATCTTACCTCAATTTGCTGACAGATTTTGCTTTCCAAGATAGACATGTTTTCTCCATTTCCATTTTCAGCCATTTTCACCAGCTGTTTTGAAGAGAATACAGAGCAAAAACACTAAGTTTTGAACAGTAATTTCTACATTCATGTAGCATTACGTTTCAGTGCAGCCTCATCTAAATAAGGTAACAGCCAAGTTCATTAGCCATACATTTATGCCTGTGAAGCAACTATTAACATGACTGCAGAACTCCAAGGGTAAACTATGAAACAAATCAGGAACAAAAATGCCTCACTTTGGTTGTTAGGGCAGCATTTGGCATTCAGCAGTCAAGATAAAATTTTAAAAATGCTGGCATTTTTCAGTTTTATTTGTTATTTATCTTTTTCTAGGCACAGATCCTCAGTTCAGAACAACAACAAAACTGAGAGCCAACAACATTTGTTTTTTAAGACAAATCCAACCTCTAATTTCTAGGCAAAACAATCAATAACAAAAATGTTCAATTCTTACTTAGGTATAATGAGAAATGTTTCTCAAGTTTCTGTCTCCTGTTTAATCTTTGGAAAGTTCACAGAACTTACTGGAAGATGGAATGAAAATATCTGCATTTACTGACACATCTTAAAGATGTCTCATTCTCTCCTTTACAAATGTGTCTTCACTGCAGTTCTGCTTGAATATCAAGCATCTTTGATAACATAAGACATTTTAACTAGGAAGTAACTTCCTAACTGGCAGCAAGTGTATAATCCCAGAACATCAGATGCAGTCACTGAGAAAGTAGCTACTGGCCAGAAAATTAACTGGGATCAAACATTTTCTATCTAGTTGCTCTTAAGGTAAGGATAGAGTGTGATGATTAATCCTTAAGAAAAAATGTAGCTTTATGAAGCTGTTAGAAGTTAGTTTGAATTCAGTTTTGAACTATGAAGCAGAGATTTCTTCTTTCTCCCTTTGAGCACTAACATACTTGTTAAATCCAGCTACAGAAGATAAAGTGGTTTCTTGGTCGCGTTACCCCAGTTCAAAGATCTGTGATCACAAGGCTGCTGGTGAAGATGGTTTTGCACGTGTCTTGCATGATTTATTGGGAGATTTAACTATACACCTTCTGCTACTTGCAGGGCAGTAACATCTGTCAGTGCATCAAGATGACTGGCAACACAGGGAAAACTCCCCTGAGCTGCCCTTGTTACAGGAAATTATATTCTTCATCAGAACGCCCAGTTGGCAGCCTCATCTTCTTATTTCAGTAGTTCAATTCCCCAATAACTGTTCAGCCTACTGCAGTCTGCAGTATTCCCATTTCTTCCTCTTCCTGATCTCAAGGCCACATTCAATCCTTGGAACTTATAATTCTTCAGCACTTACAGCTTTGAAAGGTGGTGTGCTTGCACCTGTACCTATCACTGTAACACTCTTTAAAGCATGATTTCAGCAAGTGTTAGTTGCTAGCTGTGCTGAGTGTGATCCAGTTATCTAAAAAGCACTTGACAAAACCCAGGCCAGAGCACCCAAGCTAAGAGTTGCGGCTACTTCAGAGATGTCCCACATGAGACTGACACTTCACCACCATTCAGGTGCTGGTACTGTCATAACACCCTACTTGTGAGAGGAATCAGTATTCTGTTTTACGTGATACCAAATTTGATCCAATTTAATGGCAACCTAGAGAGCAGTCTCTGACTACTGTCCCAGTCTGCCTCAGCCCAGGTACCAAAATCTCAATTTCCACATAAGACTCAGCTTCACTGTTAAGAAGAGAAAAAAACAAAGTCTACTTCCTTAGCTGTGTTTTACGGTTAATACCAAAAAGCATGATCCAACACAAGACTTAGGACACATCCTTTAGAATAAGTCTTACACATGGAAAACATTTCTAAAAAGGATCCTTTCAGCCATAAGTAACAAACTGCAGGCAAGACTAAGAATCACTCAAGATTGCCATGCATGCAATTCAGTTCAGTGATTGAGCTCTAACCTATTTAGAACAAAAGCAGAAGCAGCCTTCTAATGCAAGAGAAATTCTAGCCGTGTCTGCGCATGCTCACTTCAGACTCTAGCTCAGTCATTTGGCACAAGACAACTTCCAGATCAATAGTTTTCAGTTGCTGTGCAGCAGTGAAGACTGATAAAAAGCTCCAATGAACAGCAATCGCAGTCAGAACTGCATGCAAAATCCTACAAAAGATTGTATTTTAAGGGCTTTCTTAATAAACTAAACTGACTTGTTCCTTCCATATGCCAAAAGTCTCTATCAGTACGATACAAAACATAAAAAACAGGTTAAAATAAAGCAAGTAGTCATTAGGTTTGAATTATAAAAAAATTACAGTCAAGCCCTTTAACTAGAACAATTAGACACTGTATTAATTAGATCACCCCAAAAGAACTCTCAAGTAGATTTTCCTCTTACCAGACATTTAGTTTCAAGCTCTGGACAAAGTTTAGTTGCAGGCTGATTCTACCATTACTGTAATAGAGTGAAAGGCTTTTTTTAAATAAGAAAGCTTTCCCAATAAAGTCACATGGAACTGTTATTCATACTACACCTTCCTCAGGAACCCCTGCACAAGAGGTCTGAACCTGTTTTTTATTTAAGGGGTTTTATTTAAGGATTAACTACAGCCACACATTTTCAGAGACGTTACCTTTAACAGAATTATTTTTTAGTAGAATCAGTGCAACGTAAGAAAAAAATTCATACAGATAATTTTTGAAGCAATGGAAATGTCGGCCCCTGAACTGTGCTAGAAGACCATCCGTTTGCTGTTGACACTTTTACACGCCTGCAGCAGCAACATACACCTCTTCAGACAGCCTGGGGCCCAGCCTCCCGCCTAGCGGGCAACTCTGCCCGGCAGGAGCGGGAGCGCCGCCCTCGGGCCGGGCCGGGGTCCCCGCGGCGGGAGCGATGCCGCCGGCTCCGCTTCCCTGCAGGGCCTGAGCCTCGCAGCGCGCACCGAGCTCCGCGGGCAGCGCTGCCGGCAGGAAGTGACCGCGGCGGCACGGCCGGGCCCGCTCCGCGCCTCCGCCGGGGCACAGGCGGCACGTGCTCCCCTGCTCCGGGAACTCTCCCTGCCTGCCTGCCTCCCTCCCTCCCTCCCTCCCGGCCCGGCCGCCGCGCCCGCTGCCAGCCCTGTTCCCGCGCTCCTCGGTAAGGCCGGGCCTGGCGGGGCACGCCTGAGGAGCAGTGGCACCGCCCGGGAGCCGCCGGGAGCGGCCCCACACGAACCTGCGCGCTCGGGCCCCGCTCCGCCGCTCCAGAGACCGCGAGTCGGCGCCGCGCGGCCCAGCAGCCCCCGCGGCCCGCCCGCCCCTCGCGGGTGCGCCACTTCCGGGCCGGGGGAGGGGCCACAGCGCGGCCCCGCCTCGAACGGCCCCCGCGCCGGGAGCGCGCGCGCGCGCGCTCGTGGGGGCCGTGCGCGCGAGGATTCTGTTCGCCCTCTGTGTTCACAGCTTTGCGCACTGAGCAGGAAAAAACGTAATTTAATAACCTGAATTTGTACGGTGGTGGTATATTTATATTTATTATGTATTGCAGACATTCACTTAAACACTACAGATGGATTGTGGGCATCTATAGCACCGCAAACACGGGAATCGCACAAGTGAAAATTTTAAGAAAGCGTATTGACTTTACAATTGATTTGACTTCCACATTACTTAATTTTCTAGTTTACAAGTGAAACAGTTGAACAGTGTCTACCATAATACAGGTCCATTAGCACAATAATTCAGTGTTTACATTCAACTGTGGTTAAAAACACAGATGCCTGAGAGATTCCCGCTCTGAGCTTCCCAGAGGTCAGAATCCTATTCCTCTTGCTGAGTTCATTTTCCTGCCTGTGCCCAAGACCTGATTGCAACACACCTTGGGATGTGCTACACGAGTCAATTTTAAAAGGGCACTGTAGGTTATTGTGAAAAATAGCACCAGTTGAAATTTAACCATGAGTCTGAATTTATTCTTCTCTCCATTTATTCTAATGCATTGAAAATCTCTGAGAAATTAGGATTTAACTGAAGTCCTAAGCAGTAATTTCTTTGACTTTTGTTTATGCCAGACCAACAAACACTGTCCAGACAGGGAAGAACTAAAGGCTTTTTTTCCACTTTGCAGTTATCACTGAGGCCAAAAAGCAGCATTTGCTTGCCTGCAGGTCGCCCAGGGGCACAAAGCAGAGTCCAGCTTCCAGCGCCTGTGCTGCAGCCCTGGAACAGCGCTGTGTTTCATTAACATCAAGTGATGTCAATTGCAAGCAGCTGACAGGTGGATGCTGAGGTTTGGTTTTGTTAGTCCTCACCTTGTTCTTAGATCCTTTCAGAGACTCGTGACTGTTGGTGACAGGATACAGGCCAGAATGAACCTCAAGGCCGGCCACAAGCAGCTGTTCTATGTTTGTGTTTTTCAACAAACATAAAGCTTTACAGGTACATAATTTGCACTGAAAATTACATAAACACATTGAGTTCATTGTGATTTCATTCAATACAAAGATCACCTTCATGTTCTTGTGATTGTTGTCCTTTAAATCTCCACCTGCTCTTGAGCAATTCTCAGCTGTGGAGATTTCCAGGAGAAACAAAATCACTTTATGTCTTTTGCCCACCTGCTTGACCGACACATTTCTAACAGCCTCGGAGTACAATTCTCCACACCTCTGTAGAGTTTGGAGTCTTTAAACAAATTACATCAGATGCTTAAATAAATCTCAGTGGGATGGGTAACAAAGCAAAACACTAAACACACACAGACTTCTGACATAGTGAGGCAACATATGAAAATATGAAAAAAAGAACTGTACGTCTACACCACAGAACTTCACATCAAAGCCACAGCTGAGTACCACCTGCTACAAGCAGTCAAACCCAAGTCAGAAATAGCATAAAAATGTGAAAGAATAAAAAAACCACCTGAAAATGCTGATGATCAAGCAAAAGAAATATTATAAACTCTGAGCTTACTGCTTGGAAAAGTCTTCTCCTTTGTATCTGAGAAATCTAATAAAACCAAAATTTCATTTTAGGCGGCAGTGCTGGTATGAGAAGTTCCCACCACACCCTATGGCAGCCCTGTGTTGTCCCTACCTATCATACCAGTGTCTAACAGCTGTTTCTGCAGTCATTTTATAAACTGGATTGGGGGATCAGTGCTAAAAGAGCCTTCTCTGTTCCCCAAAGCATTTCTTCATTTGGATCACTGCTGTCAGGCCACTCAGAGTGTGATCTGTTTGTCTGTAAATCACTTTACAAAAATCCACTTTCTACACAGAATTTGAAGATCTCATATTAAGTCTTGAGATAAATAATAAATAAATCCTATTTTTTTTTCTTTGTGCGTAATATACTTTGACTAGTTTCTCTAGTTGTTACCCTTGTTCAAGTCACAGAAAAATCAAATGGTATTAAAGAAAATAGAAAAGTTTGAACCTCAGGTGGATGTTTATTTTCCAGTCTCTCTCATTTCCTCCTTCCATTCCACACAGGCACACATCTTGAAGTGATATTAAAAAAGAGTTAACACATTAAGGCTTTTTTCTGAGCACCCCTCCCCCCAAAAAACACCCAAACTACAAATAACCTGTGCATCAGCCAAAGATCCCATTGCAAAGCCTTGCAGTCTATTTTCATTTCTCATTGGCAATGTCGAAGAGAGTGTGAGAAAGACAGAGAAATGCCCTTTTGCTTTTCCTTCTGGAAAACTAGTGCATGCTTTTGGCCTGTGCTCTGGGGCTACTACCAACATTTCTTCCCTTATTCCTAGCCTAAGTTCTTTGCTCTGGCACTTGAAGGTAGAGCTAGAAATGCCCATTTCTGAATCTGATAACCTGGTTATCCAAGTGATATTGCTCTGTACATACACTTAGCTTGTGTCAATGATCCATTTCTACAGCTACCTTCAGAATACAAAGATTTCAGCTTAAGGCCTTAGTAGTGCTTAGAACTGTATTTTGTTTGGCTTTACTCATCTTAGCACCAAGTCATAGTTTCATCCAGTGATTTACAAAAACAAATCAATTTTTCACAGTAGTTCCTATGTTGGTGTACGAAGTATTATAAGAGAGTAATTTGAGAACTTCTATAACAAAGAATGATTGGACTGAAAAATACATGGAAAACTTGTTAGCACATTTATGTTTCTACGTTGTTTAAAAAGAGAACGAATTATATCTAGTTATTAACAACGTGCACAAAGAGATTGTATGAGACAACCCCTCATGAGGTAATCAGTAGTGTTATGAATACTGCATCTGCTGTTTTCTGTAACAGCAAGATGAAAATGAAATGCTTACACATTATACACACAGACACAGCCATGTGACCGCATAGCACTGGGAAGATTACCTACTGCTTCCCATTTATTCAGTTCAGGGTCGTATTTCTCAATGCTCTGCAGGTACGTTCCTTTTGAATAGGAATATCCTCCTGTCACATAGATGCATCCGTTCATAACCACCGTGCCACACTCCATCCTTCTCTCCATCATGTGAGCCATCTGCTTCCACTCATTTTGCTCTGGGTCATAGCAGTCAGTGATCGTGGTCTGTCCACCCACAAAATAAATCTTGTTTTGTAATGTAATTGAACACAATCCGTATTCTTCAGAAAGAAAGAAATACAGTAAACTCAGCATGATAACATTAACTTACACTGCAAGTACATGACAAACATTGGGCACCACTGAGGGCAGCTGAATGTCCTCACTGAGCTTAGGAGACACCTTAAGATTTTCTGCTACACCACAGCACCAGTACTCATGGAAAATTGCTTTAAAAACTTACTGTTACCAGATGTAGAACACAGAGAAAACTCTTTTAAATGAATATAAATATCTTTTGTCAAATGTCAATGAATAGTTAGATTTTACAGAAAGTTATATTATTTAATAGAGTGTGGACATTCCTTAGTTCAGCATTTATATAGCAATTTCTATAGAACAGATTCTTGAAGAAGGTCTTCCTTTCTACTTTCAGAGTTTGGAAATGAACCGTGCTGCCCTACTGGCATTTCTTTTAATAATTAGGAATATGCCAAAACCCCTAATTAGGCTTAACGACTCCCAGCTACAAGTAATCAAATCAAGCTCTGTTTGTCAGAGAAACTATTTACCTGGATGTGGACTTGTGGTGACTATACTCCACTCATTGCTACCTGAATGGTATCTCTGGATTTTATCGTAGGTGCAGCTTCCCCTGTACCCATAGTGACCTCCAGCGACGTAGATGATTTCATGCAGGACACAGGCAGTGGCATTTCCAACTCCTGTTCACAGTATGAAAGTCAAACATGCATTCAGACTGCACGTAATAACCATGGTCTCTTCTCTCCATAACTCCATTTCAAATGATTTTTTAATATTTTATCAACATTATATGCTTGCAAGTATTTAATGTGAATAAAATAGATTTGTCGAGATATCAGCATAAGTCAAGAACGTCTAAATAAAACTGCAGTAATGAATACATATTGCACATAATACAGCCACACAATACTTCACGGGATTTTTAGGCAGTAATTAAAGTCACATTGTCTCACTGATTTGGGAATAAGCAATTAGTTTCACTGTTTCACCAAGTTAGAGTTGATAAAAAATCACTTATATGGCAAGAGCAAAGACAATGGGAGCTGAGATTGTTCAGTGTCTCAGGGTATCTTTTCTGATACTTTTCGTCATTCACATGGTATTACTAATTAAGCTATTGTAGAAACAAGGACAAGCAGAATGCAGGCATTTTAACTGTGTCTCTAGGACAATAAAATGAAATACAGCAAAGGGGGGTCTGAGCACCTAAGTAGTTTCTCACTTAAGAAAACTGGGCAAAACAACTGCATAGAATATATAACTCATAGGATTAGTGTAGCATTTCTACTTTTGAAGGAACTAAAATGAAAATAGTAGCAATGTTTGAGAAAAACATACAAACAATGGAGAAGGTTCTAAAAGCCTGCTTGCTTTCTTTCACATATACATCCAAAAATTCTCTTGTACATAGAAAAATATTATGTTGCATTAACTTACAGTAAACTTTTCTAATTATAAATATTTGCATTTATTTATAAAAATGTATGATTAAATGTATAGTTGTAGTATTATTGTTACTGTTACAAAAGAATCACAGAATAGTCTGCATTGGAAGGGACCCAGAAAGATTATCAAGTCCAACTCTTAAGTGAACGGCACATACAGGGATCAAACCCGTGACCTTGGCATTATTTAGCACCACGCTCTGACCAACTGAGCTCATCTCAGAGTCAATATTCTCTGGTTAAGCAGTGATTCATACATTTTTAGTAGATCACTACTTTGGCTGCTAGAAGCAGGTATTAGTGCTTTTCATTATCCTTACATAAAGATTAAACAAAGGATCCTGAAGAGATGATACACAGAAATAGGAGGGAACTCCATGCAAGAAGTTTTAAATTGTGACACATTTATAAATGACTGCACAGAAAATCCTATATAAAAATAATACACTTCCCTTTATTGGAGCTTACTCTTTGATTGTGTACTGAATGGATTCTTATCCTGGGTAGTTTTCTGATTTCTTTCTAATTTTAACACAAAGTTTACTCACGAAAGAAGACAAAATTAAACTGAGACTACCACTTACTTTTCTACCCGCTATTCTACAGCACAGCCCAGTATAGCATCTGGATGTTTGTGGTCATTTGGCTAGTGAAGACCTGAACTAAAGCCCACTAACATTAACAGGAGATTCCCATGGACTTCTCTAGAATTTTGATCAAATCCTAAATGTTTCCATGGCACTTAAAAATGGCAAATACAAAATAATTGACACTGGAGGCAGACACCATACAAAAGTTTACCTACCTTTGATCATGTTTGCAATGGGAAGCCATTTCTGTATTAAAGGATCATAAAACTCAGCTTCTTGGACTGGAGCTCCCTTTCGGTACCCTCCCAATGCATAAATGCAGCCACTCAAGGACACTGCACAGTGGTAATACCTTGCGTCGAGCATGGGGCAGCCTTCTGTCCATTCATCTCTCTCGCTGTTATATATCCACACGGTGTCAAGAGCTTCAATACTCTCTGTTCTGTAACCTCCTGTCACATATATGTCTGGTCCCAAACTAGTGACCCCATAACTCTCTCTGGTGTGATCTGGCATCTCTGTTCCCTGGACCCATGCATTGGTTAAAGGATCCCAAACATGCACTTCTGATAAGGGATGCCAATAATATCCTCCAATTACATACATGGCTGCTGTGGATCTTCTGGAAACACCTTTGGGATTGAGGTTCAGGGCATTATATATGAGTGACCTTATCTTACTGTCATTGAGTCGGCATTTTTTTTGCAGGCTTAAAGCAGACCTCAAATACACATTATCTAAGTCTACTTTGATGCAACTCAGCACTTCACAGATGTCTTCAACTCTTCCTTCCACGTTGTGTGCAACCCACTTAATGACAGCTTCAATGGCTACCTCTTCTTTCTGAACATTGAGATTCTCTCTGGACAGAATATAAGAGAGCTTCTCCTTGCCAATGTCCAGAAACTCTTCCTGCTTCCACACTTCTTCAAACTGCCATAACAATATCCTTCTGGACTCTTTCTCCAGCTCCGGGCAATCATGATACTCAGCAAAGGAGTGCATCCCAATGCAGTTGTCAGTATCTAAGTGCCTTACCAGAAACTGCTCACAGGCTTTCTTTACTGATACGAACTGGAGCAGGTCTGCAGCCTGGAGTAGGCTTTGTACATTTCTCTTTGTTATCTGGATCTGTGATGTGTATGCGTAATTCACGAGAGCTTCCAGTACTGCATGGCTGAGCCCGGGAAGGCTGATCTGGTTTTTGGATTTTTCTTTCATATCGGCTGTGAACATGGCTTTAAAATAACTGCTGCAGGCTGCCAGGGCAGCTCTGTGGCAGTGGAAGATGACCCCCGAAGCGCACTGCAGGGTGATGTCGGTGAACAGCCCGTCCAGGTAAAACGCCCGGAACGCCTCCAAAAAGCCGTCGGGGTGCGCGGAGTCCTTGTAGAGGTAAGCGTACTCCTCCTGCCCGGCCGCGGCCATCGCCGCGCCGCAGCTCCCGCCGCTTTGTCCGCGCAGCCCGGCCGCCCTCCGGCTGCGGACCCGCCCGGCACGGCGCTTACGGGGGTTCCCAGCCCGCGGCAGCCCGTGACCGTCTTTGGAAGAGCCTCTGCCGGAGGGAGCAGCGGGGCCGCAGCGACAGCTCCTATTTTGGTGTCCCGGCCGCCCCCCCCCGTCCCCCGCACCCCTCCGCGAGGCCGGCGAGCCCCGGCGCCCAGCCCGGCCCCCGCGCGCCCGCTCGCCTTGGGAAGGTCCGGCCCGAACCGCTGCCGCCGCCGCCCGGGCGCTCCCGACCCCGGGACAGGGGTTAAAGGCTGCCCGCGGTGGTGACAGAAGGCCCAGTCCTATTAGGGACAGGAGCAGATGCCTGGGGAGCGTCACCAGCTCGGTGTCACTCAGCCACACAACAAAGCGAGGGGCCTCGCCCGCCGCTGTCAGCGACCTGAAGCCGCTTCCCGCAAAGGCGCCCCGCGTCCCCAGGAGCGATACTGGGAAGAGCAGCAAGCTCCAAGGGCTCCCCCGTTACCAGAGAGCAGGAGTCGAAAGGGGAGCAGCCACAGCTCTTCTCAAACTCCTGAAATTGGCAGGGTGCAAAGGACAATCACCAATTATGCCCACAAACAGATTCCAGCTATAAGTAAATTTTTCAGGAAGAAGGCTATATTGGCTTTTAAAACTCCTGAAAATGTGACTCACAATATAAGAAGTAATTTTCTTTTCTGCTAGCAACACATTTTCTTTCTTTGAAACACAGCATCCTCTGGGTTCGAGCAGCTGTGGGCTCTCCATCTGCAGCAGGGTTTGGAATTTTTTGATCCAGCAGTGAGGCTCTCCCTGCCCTGCCAGAGCTTTCCTAGACTGAAAGACTGCCAGTAATTTCTCCAATCAAAAGGAGGTGAATATTATTATTAGCTCAGTGCCAGCAATACCCGAAAGGAGAAATTTTGAGAATTCCCACTTGACACAGATGAAAAAGCATCATATTTTACTTTTAATTACCCGTGGTATTTCCACCATAATGGCCAGCAGAAGTATGAACTAAGGAAATCCAAACAGGAAAGTGTATATGGCTGTACCCCTCTGCCATCCTTCCTCCCATGCTAACCCTGCACCAGGATTCAAAATGGCCCTTGACCTTTACATAGTAACATGAGACAAAAATAAAATTATCCAAACTCACAAAAAAGCCCCAAAGAACCAAAAATTCCCCACACCTACACACATCTATGCCTTCCTTTTTATCAACCTCTCTTGATGCATTGTTAGCCCAGAGAACTGGAGTTTTGTAGTGTAACCCAGGAGTTACAACAGCCCTGCTGTCTGACACAGGCCTGTCCCTCAGCTACATTACTCCATTTCTTTCTCTAGAAAATTCCCTTGTGCAGCCCTAAGTCTTTATGCATCCCCATGCCAACAGCTTTGTTTTGGTTGCATTTTCCATTTCATCAGCTTCCTATGGACAAGCAGGAAATTCTTCCAAGTCTTGGCTACCCTACTAGCACCCAATACTAAGGCTAAGTACTCATGTAACAGTAGTGCACATGTACAGAAAGTTTCCCATACATATATGACTTTTGTTATGCATTTTTTTCCATAACATTTTTACCTGAGTCATATTCCTCCCAGAGAGTAAGTCAGGAGGTCAGCAATACGTAGTACTGAACATGTGTTCCCTTCAAGGAGCTTCTCCCTTTCTTTTGGTTGGGCTACCAGCTTAAACCAGCTTCACTTTTTGGAGATACTCATCTCTCCTCCACTGTATCCAAATATAGAAAAATTTGGCAATTGTGGTGCTTCAGAAAAGTCCTCGCTTTTATTAAATGGGGAAAAAAAAACCAAACAAGGCCTGATTAATAGCTTAATGGTCTGCCTACTGGAATTGAAAAATTTCTTCTGTCTCCAACATGCACTTTGTCTGGCAAGTATAATCAGCTCTACCCTCTACTTGAAGTGATTAGAACATAATTGCTAATATTTCAAGTACTCTACTTTGCTTAATCTACTTTCAACTCCTGCTTCAGCACTTTCATCAAAACCACAGAAAGAACCCTTTTTGAGCATGAAGACCAATTTCTCACCCAATTTCTCATTCTCACAGCAAATTACAAGGTAGGTCCATTAAGGCTAAAACAATAATAGTTAGTGTAAGTGGAAGAAAAAGCTGAGTAATCATTGATATACTACTTTTTGTTTGTTTTTAAGTAAGTAGTAACTGAAATCTGTGGACAAACTGAAAATAAGCTATTGCATAACTAAGTTCTGAAAAACACAGAAGAGACCAGCACAGAATCTGGAATATTCAGCAGCACATCTAGAATGAAGGAAACACACAACTGTCTTGGTTTTGGCTGGGATAGAGTTAATTTCCTTCTTAGTAGCTGGTTCAGTGCTGTGTTTTGGATTTACTATGGGAATCATGCTGACAACACACTGTTGTTTTGGTTGTTGCTAAGTGGTGCTTACCCATAGTCAAGGACTTTTCAGTTTCCCATGCTCTGTCAGTGAGAAGCTGCACAAGGAGCTGGGGGAGCAGGGCCAGGACAGCTGACCCGGACAGGCCAAAGGGATATTCCACAGCCTGGGAGGGCACATTGGGAACAGAAACTGGGGGAGCTGGGGAGACTGGGGAGGGGCTGATCACTGCTCGGGGCTGGGCTGAGCATCCCTCAGCAAGTGGTGAGCAGTGTATTGTACATCACTTGTTTCTCCTGGACTTCATTCCTTTCTCTCTCCTTTCATTACACTTATAATAATTTAGTATTGCTATATTGTATTTTGTTTCAATTATTAAATTGTTCTCCTCTCAACTCATGGGGTTTAATTTTTGAGCAGGGTGTTGGAGTGCACAGGCTGCTCTTAATTGCCAGGTGGGGTGAAACAATGACAACAACCTAAAACCCAAAAGTAACACATATATATATGTTATATATGTATGACCTGTAAACCAGACAACTTAAACCTTAAACTGGACCCACCAGTCCTCAGACGTCTTTGTGCCCCTGTGGAAAACAATAGGCCAAGATCCCAAACATGAACATCTTAGACACCTATCAAATATCCATCACTAAAGCCGGGCTCCTGAGAACTGAAGTATATTACTTTGTACATTTTAGGCAACACACTGTTCAAAGCAACCTTCTACAATACAGTAAAGTAGGGGAGGCAAGGAAAGAAGTACACAAGAGAAATTTTTGTAAACCAGCAGCCTGAAAACAGGCAAGACCAAAATCTTCAGTTAAGGAAATAAAAGGTAGCGACATCATGAAATGTCTGTAAGAAAATGAGAATAACATTGCATAGAAAACAGATACAGCAACTGCAGACTACTGAGCTACACCTCAGACATCTGCAACTGATGTGCTGTGAAAGTTGATCTAATCTGTCAGCTATTAAAGAACTTAAGCTAAATATGACCTCAGTTTAATAGCAGACTACATCAGAATTTCCAACCTTTTCTGGGATATAAGAATAAAAACATTTGGCATGAAAACACATTATTTAACTTTAATGAGACTTACTTTTAATACCTTTATATGCACAGTCCAACACTTGGGGCTCATCTCACTGTCAGAGGTAAAGAGAAAGACTGCATGTTCACAAAAAATTATTTGGAACTACTTAGACAGAATAATCTGTTTAAGAGTTAAAATGGACATAGATGCTTCCTTCCAAACTGTAAGAGATCATACTACAGATATAGATGAGAATGAAAAGGTAAAATCAGTGTATACATGTATATACCATTCTGTGGGCTGTGCATTGCAGCAGAAACCAAGGAGGAAAAAAGGCTGACCAAGGGGCTGACTCAGAGCTGTCAGCATAGAAAATCAAATCGGCTCTGTACAGAGTGGCAGCAGCACACTGTCAGGGCAGTAGTCAGAATGTTTTTCTTTAAACAAAAGAGCAACATCCTTACAGCTTTTCAGAAGAGAAAGGGTCTGACCAGCCAAAGGCTGAAACTTACACTTGCATCTACGCTCTCCAGGCCTGATGACACACAGGCCAGCAGAATACATGACACAAATTAGTTGTGTTGCATTTGTCAGTAACAGCAACTTTTATTGTCTTTACAATACAAGATAATACAAACCATTAAAAAGTAATTTTGTTTGGCAAAATATTTAGTCAATTGAAAATATAAATGTGTCTTCGGATTAAACAAGATTACAACAAATAATTTGCCATCAGATGAAAGAAGTATGAAAGCGAACAGCTCCAGAACCATGCTCCTGGGACCTAATGTTTTCTAACTAAAGAATTTCATTCATTTGAATAGTAATCCTACTCCTTCCCCTAAGTGTGTGGGATTGCAAAAATCAGTTTAATACTTGGTAAAAGGTTAGGGGGGAAGGAGTAGAAAAAACAAATGACAACTCCTGTCCCAAACCCCCTTCTCCACTTAGCTGGAATCTGTACTGTTAGAAGGCCTTTTGACTGCACTTTCGCATTATTACCAGGATTGAACATAAACGGTTTTATGTTGTGGTTAAAAAACCCGTAATTTCAGATAATAGCCCAATTTTACAATTTTGAGCTTTTATACACATGCAGTTTTTTTCTCCCAATAAGTTAAAATGTAACTGCACCCGTTTCCTTTTATCATTTGAATCATTCCTTTATAACTAGTTTCAGGTAAGACATAATGTCGATCGCAGATGACCAAACCAGAACAGAACACTGTACAGGACTGAGACTTTGGGCCAGCTGAGAAATCTTTTTCTCCAAGGTATACCCCTGCCTGGGCATAGCAATATCATTCTTCTTCAAAAACGTTACTGGACATAAGTCATTTCCACCATCACCTATATATACAACTTGTGTATAACTCACTCCTCGCTCCAACTGTTTATCAAGAAATTCTTTTAAAACTTTCCTTTTGCAAAGGTTTTTAGGGCACTTTGCACAATGGTGAGCATGGAAGTGCTGTACAGTAAGATAGCCAGTACTGCTGAATGCTGCAGGGTTTGTAAACACTTCATCAAACACTTTATGGAAGTCAGCAGCTTTCAAAATCCAGTCAATAAATACTGTATTAGAATCTGAAACAATTATACAATCAAACAACTGCTTGTTCTCGCCAATAAATCCCAGAAGATCTATCATTCCTGCAGTGAAAGGAATTGTTGTCATAGTCCTTTTCATCTCATCTTCTTTGACACCATTGTCTCCCAAGTAGACAAAGACTCTGCCCATATATTCTGTCCAATGTCCTGGTTGGTAAGAGTTTCTTAATCCACTAGGAAGTTCTCTTTCAGGAGCACATTTCACAATCCAGGTGTCACTATTTTCATCTATGATTGTATGGTCAAAATCAAAAACCAACAGAAATTTCATAGCTGTGAGAAAATAGTTTCCAAAACAAACAAAAAAGAAAATTATTTATATAAACACAATTACTATATTTCTACCCTGTCCTTATGCTCAGAAGAGAAAAAATTCTGCAAGAAAGTATCTGAACAAAATGAACTATTTATGGCCATTACCACGATGGGAAGTTGTGCTGTAGCTAAAAATACAATCTGTAAATGCCAAAGTTCAGTGTCGGACTTCTGTTTAAAATAGTTACTGTGACAGTATCTAAACTCATGCTGCAGTTACTAATTCTTGCTAATACAGCAGCAACCTTTCTTTTCTCACACACCATCAGTTTGAGCAGATGCTAATATCTCCATCAGCATTTGCCAATCCAACCAAACGGGGATTCTCCTGGCAAAACGCCTCAACAGGTATTTCAAAAGGAAATATACACTGAAGAGACGGAGCCTGTGCCTTCAACAAGGCACTAAATCAAAGAAGCCAACGAAAGGAAATGCAGCCACTTGTGAAGGTGAATTTGCTGACTCCTCCCGACTAGGTTAGCCCCGCTCCGGGCCCCGCAGTCAGTGCCACAGAGAGCACAGCAGCCTCAACAGCGGCGCCGTACCCGCGGGGGCAGCGCCCGTGAGGGGAGGGGGCAGCGCCCGGGGCCGGGCCTGTGAAGGAAGGGGCAGCGCCGGGGGGGGGCCCGGGGCCGCCCCGCGCGCCCCGTCACGTGACCGCGCGCCGCCGGGTCGCCCGGCAACGGCCCCGCGGCCCGGGAAGATGGCGGCGGCAACGGCGGGGCGGCTGCGGCGGCGGCGGGGTGGCGCCCGTGAGTGCGGCTGCCCCCGGGCAGCGGGAGCCGGCGGGAGGGCAGTGTCGAGCCCGCGGCCGCACGGCTCCGGGACGCTGTAGGGGTGCCCAGCGGGACTCTCTCCAACGCTCCCCGAGCTGCAAACAGCAAGAGGGGCTGTTTCTCCCTAGGAACTGAGTGGAGAGAACTGACCTGAACGCAGCACAGGTCCAGTAACCTCCAAGGGCAGCAGCTGGGGAAGAGCGAGGGGCTTGGCAGATGCCTGCTGCAGGGCGCGGCCGCATCAGTGCGCCTTTACTTCTGGTGAGGCTGTCTTCACCTAGGACAGAGGGAGAGGGCTAGGTCTGATCCCTGTCGGTAGACTGGTCAGCAGTAGCATCTGGAAAACAGACTTTGACACCGGTGTCACTCTAAGAGAAAGCCTCCTTACCCTTCAGACACGGCCTGTCAGTCTGCTGCAAATCACTCAATTTCTACAGAATGCCGCTCTGTGCCTTCCCTTAAAAATGGTAGTGACACTTGAAAGAGCATTTCATGAAAGCTAGACGTCAACTAAAAAAGCTGCATTTATGCCTGCACACGTGTATGTAAGCCTAATAGAATAAAGAAATCCTAGTCTTGCCAACAAATCAAAAACTGTCCTACAGTATAACTATTTCAGTAAATACAATGAGTATGCAGGACATGGTAGTAAGGTACAGTCTGTGCCCAAAATGCTGCCTCATCTAGCCAGTGGAATGGCTTTATCAATATTCTCCTTTTCATTTTGGGGATGGTCTCTGCTCTCTGTTGTTCTAAGAATCATGCCCAAGTGCGGCCTGGGAAGTGTTTTACTACAAGCCAAACCCACACAAACACACGAACAGGCAAGGGCACATACAAACAGCCCAGTCAGTCAGTGCCTGTCCAAGTTCATGCACTGGTCGTAGGTAGACTACTGATACAGATACCCTGTCTCAACTCTGGGGTTTGGGGGACTAACTAATAATAATTACTTTTTTTTAATTGTTACCATGCAAGCATTCAAATCCTGATACACGTTTGATTATTGGATTTGCTGGTATCAAGTAACCTTTGTATTTTTTCTTCCCTCTGCACAGCACATAATTTGAAAGAAAAGGATGTTCTAGATGAATATTTTCTTCCAAATGAAGCAGATCTTCGTCAGGTCATTGTAATGCCAAAAGCAGAATGGGAAAGGATTCAGGCCAGCATTAGAGAAGCAGCACACATTGATGAGAAGAAAGAACAGGAAGAAGTACACTTGGACTCCAAAGCTGCTGGAAAAGACCCACCCAATGCCACTCTGGTAAGTACAAGATACATTCCTAAACAAGGGTAGTTGCTTTGGTATATGCAAAAACACACATAGTAACATTTCTAGCTGTACTCCCTTTGTTTAACATTTGCTTTTGAATACGTATTTCAACTAAATGCTGTTTAAATACATTTAACATCTAACATAAACATTTATATTTTTTTTACTTAAAGCTAAAATGAAAAGTGAAAAAACCAATCCAAAATTTAAGTGTGATTTCTAATTTTGTCTACACTGTAGAGTCTGATACAACAGAAACTTCAAGCCAAAAAATTACGTGAAGAAAAGGAAGAGGAAGAAAGAAAGTTACTTGATTTAGAAGAAGCAAAGTTCCAAGCAGCAAAGCGGAAGGAGGTTATTGACCGTGCAAAAACCTACCTACTTTATCAGGACGACAGAATGAGACATTTCCATGTTTGTTGACAACTTTTACATTGAAATTATACTGTATGTCTTTAAAGACTTCTGAACAAGAAAATTACTTTTAATGTTCTCTTGCAGGGTGCCTTTCTACTTACTAAGGTCCTAAAAGAAAGAGATGCTCAGGTTGAATTTCTAAAGTCAAGATTAGCTGATAACAAAAAGAGAGATTATGAGGAAGAGCAACGTCGATTTAAAGAATACATTCTCAGCGAGCAAGAAAAAGCACGTCAGCATTATAGGAATCAACAGGCACTACGCAAAGATCAGCTAGAACAGTAAGTAATAATTAAAAACAACCCTACTTAATAATTTACTTAAACTCTTCTCAAAATACATTCTGGGAGGCTTTTACAGAAACTTACTAATAATTTGTTTCACAAATGCCATTCTTCTAAAAGAAGATCACAGATCTTGCCCAAAAGGGAAAAGCTATATGCATTTTTAGTTGCCAACAGTTGGCATGCAAAATCGCCTCTGGGAAGTATCAACAAGTTTTAGTCAAATCACTATTCAAATGTTGTTAACGAAATTTAAGTGTATTTTACTCAGTTTTTGTTCCAGACAAGGACAAGGTTAAATCAGATTTTCCATTTACCCATAATGAGCTTCCAGACTGCACAACAAGAGAAGGCATTACTGTCACTTCTATTCTTTCTCTCAGGTCTTTTGTAAATCTTACGGAGGGATCCCCAGTGGTATTTATAGGACTGGCCCTGGTGGTCTGATAGAAAGAATCAAATTTCCCATGGCAGAGGAAAGGTTCAAAGTCTAGTCTTATATATTCCAGGCACAACACATAAATTCTTACACAGCTTAGTACAGAACACTACCAGCTTAAGCTGCAGCCTGGTCACCCAGAAGAAACACAGGTATGGTGGGGAAATCTTGTTCTTCAAGGATGCTGCAGATATAGGCCAGAGCATTATCAATGCCATGGTGCTCATGGGTCATCCAGCTAAAATTTATCACCACGAGACTGCAAACTGTGAGCATACCATGTAGCTCATTTCTGACCAGAGATACCATTACAAACAATCATACTGTTATTCACCTCTGATATTCTACTTACCTTCAACTCAAACTATCACATTCTTCACTGCAAGGCACCTGTGGTTATGCAGTTTGTTACTTCATGCAGTTCTTAGACCATTTATTCACCTTTTTCTGATTCAGAATAAAAGAGCGTGAGCATCAGGCAGATCTGGCCAAACAGGAAAAAAATAGAGAAGGGGAAGAAATACAGAGATCAGTCCAACAGTACCAACTAGAAATTCAGAGAAAAAAAGAAAAGGAACGTGAGACAAAAATTGAACGCCAGAAACTGTATCATGTAAGTAGTAGGAAAACAGACAGTTCAAAATGTGTATTTCACCTTGGCTGGGATGGTTGAACTCAGCCCACAGAAGAAGGGGTCTACTGGCAACAGGGTCTTTGCTGACAGCTTTAGTAGCATGGGATCAAATGCTTACCCTGCCAGTTTCAGGCCATGTCTTTCCTCTTGGAGAAAGACCTCTTGGAGGCCCCTCCCTTCTCTTGTCTCAAGGGATGTTGGCACTTGATGCTTTGACTTGTCTATGGTTAAGACATAATTTAACCATATGTTGTAGACATCAAGGACTATCTCCTTGACTTGAGAACTGCTGCCATCTCATTTCATCTTTAAAGGCATCCTACCAAGGTACAAACAAGAAGTTTCTCGGAGCAGTTCTGGCCAGCATGCTAAAGACAGTTGTTTTTTACATAAGAGAATAGAAAACTCCTCTTCAGCTGTATTTTGGATTAAGCTCTTAGACAGGGATAGTTTTGGATGAGGTGGGACCAGGAGCAGAATGATCTATGTGTGTGGGGGTGGTGGTTGGACAGTCCCCTGCCACTCACTGTCCCCCTTGACCACATGTGTCAGTGGGAGCACAGGACAATGTTCTCTGCATCACACAGCAAGCTGCTTGTTGCTCAGTTCCTTTTCCCCATTCTCACATCAACTATATCCTCTTGATGCATGTTTGAAGAGGGAGGCAGAAGTAAGTGGAAGTATCCCTTTCCTGTCTTCTCTCTCCTTTCCTAAGAATCCCTTTTCTCTCTTCTGTTTTTGAAAGAAACTTGAGAAGGGGGAACAGGGAGTGATTCCTGTAAGCTGCTACCCGAGGTCAATATTCTAAACATCATCAGTTACATCAGACCATTTTGCCCATACAGGACTATCTAAATGACCAGAAAATAATCAAAGCAATAGAGGAACAAAACCAAATGGAAGAAGATGATCGGATCAAAGCTCATTTTAAAGCAAAGGAAATTATTGCCCGGATGAGAAAAAAGAAAGAAGCTGAAATGCGTAGGTAGGTACAATGCTAAGGTATAAATTGTAAATGATCTAAAAATGATACTGTAGTTGTTTTTAGATCATTTAGACTAATGATATAACACAATCAACTGTTATTCTAAAACATTATTCTAAATTCTACTGATAGGGATAGCAGTGCCTCCACCCTTCAAAGTACAGAGGCTTATGAAAATGCAAAGCTTTGCACCAGTGTATTGGGAAGAGTGATTTTCATATGGCCAGCCAAACCTCCACCTCCTCAATAATTAAAGACAATTAAGATCCTTGATGAAAATATTTTTGAGTATAGGCTATATTTCTCTGAGTCAGCTCAAGAAGAATGATTTGACTTAGCAAGGCACATTCATTATTTACCTACACCGTGGTCTTATTAAGGGAAGATGTTTTATCAATTTAACATCGAGGGTACAACATGATGATACCACGGCGTCAATCTAAGAGTTTTCTTCCCTTCTTGCTTCTGGCCAATACTTCCAACATTCCTCTCCTGATGGCAAGATGCTCTCTGGAGTGCACTTACTGAGTACTCCAGCTCATTATTGCAGCAGAAACTAGTGATACAAGAACACAGGGAACATTTATTTGCTACATCAGATAATATAAAAATAAACCAAACAGGAAGAATAGAGGGACATCCTGAGTTGGGTGGGTGGGTCAGCCTCTGTGGTCAAGAGGAGAGAACTTTAGAAGCAGAAGCAGAATTGCTGAGTTTGGTAGCTTCAGGTAGACCCAAGTGTGTTGCCCTGGTACATTATGGAAGCTCATGTTCTTCTGCAGACAAGTCCAGGAACAACAGGACAAAATCATTAGTCGATTAGCTGAACAAATGAGTGAGGCATTAAAGATGGAAGATGATCGACTGCGTAGAGACAGTGCAAGAATAGAAGCTGAAGAAGAAAAAAAACGCCAAGAGAAAGAAGCAAAACAAAAGGCTGCCATTGAATCTATTGCTGAACACAGAGCCACTGTGGTAAGAAACGTGGGCTGACCTTACTTCTGTTTAGTCCAGCCTGGCCCAGACCACAGCTGGTGACTCTGGTGCCATGCATCAGCAGGCTTCAGCAAGTCTGCTGACACCTTTCCTGGAGTCCCCTCTCCCTTTCCCCCTTCTGTGTTGGGTGCACATCTGCCAGGGCTGCTGAAAACCCGGGCTTGGACACTGGCCAGCCACAGTGACCGTGCTTATCAGAGCACTGATACAGGGCTGCTTCTGCAGGGAGATACAACTTCCAGCTTAGCAGGCCAGCTCTTTGGTTAACTTCTGTGTGTTTTGTAAACTACAGATGAAGTTGAAAGAGGAAAAGGAGAGACAGGAGAAAGAAGAGGCTGAAAAAGAACGTGATGTGTTAATGGAAAAAGACCGCATCCACCTGGAAATGGAAAACAACAAAAAACATGGACGACACGAGGCAAACAGAGAAGTACAGAAAATTCAACTCCAGCAAATGGTAAATAGAAGAAGCTGTATCCTGTCAATCCCTTCAGAAAGAAGCACACATCTAAACCAATAGCACTAGCCCCTGCTGAGAGAAAGAGAAGAAGTTTGCCGTTTTGTTTGAAATTTTTGTTTGTTGGGTTGTTTTTAATCACTGGCATATACTTATTTTGGGGACCAGCCTCCTCAGAGCATTGTTGCAAATCAAGACTGGTTTGCAAGGACAGATCACATCCTGTCCTGTACCATTACAACATTTTTTCAACCATGCACTGCTGTCCTCTTGTATCTTCTGGGCAGGTCACCAAAGAGCAGCAGCTAATGCTGATGTTCACTCAGCTATTTAATGTACCCTTTCCAAGGAGATATGGCAGAGAAGTGGGGAGGGATGATAAGTGCCAAGTATCAACTAAGAATGCTGCAGACTTTCTGTAAGCTTTTATCCTCTCTCAGCTTTACAGGATGGTGATGTTGAGAACAAAATACTAAGCTTTGTTATTCCCTTTTCTTTATCAGGCTGAAAAGCAGGCAAGAAAAGAGCAGGAAAAGCAAGCAGACTTGGACTACTATGCTCAGACAGAGGCTATTGCACTTTCTAAAGAGCATGAATTTCAGAAATACGCAAAAGAAGTAATCGAAACAGAGTCCAAGACTACACATCATCTTTATCCTCTTCTCAAAGCATGCAAAGATGGACTTGGACATGGGCCATTTTCCTGAGAAAAGAAGAAATAAATACTGGTTTCCAACCATATAATTCTGCATTGGGACCCAGTTACCTTGTTGTAGCTGTAATGCTGCTCAAGAAACAAAAACATGAAATAATGTTTAAACTTCCGTCTAAGGAAAGGCAGAAGCTATTTTCAAGTTAAAGACACATGTTTTTCAACCTTACAGGCAGAGTTAAACTGTAAATGATTTATATCAAATATATACCATGAATCTTGACTTCCATTTGAAAAAATAAAAGATTGCCATATAACTGGTTATATTCTCAAAAATCCCCAGCTGGTATTTTATAAATGTTAGTTTATTGAGACAGGGATTCATATATTCATATATTCATAACTGTCACTGTAACTCATTCCAGCCAAAAGCTCACTATTTCTGTTATATTTTTAATATTCATTGTTCTAAAACTTCACTGTCACAGGTTTTTCAGGTCTAGGAAATGAATTTTCAGAGCAAAAAGTCACATTATTCACTAGCCTACTTCCAGTTTCCCCATAATAGAAAAGACCAAACTAAAACAACTACAGCAGACGAAAAAAGAGAACATATGTGAAAGTTAGAATACTTAGGGTGTGCAGTTTTGGTAGCATTGTGCAACTATGTCTGAAAAACAAACGTCATGCTATAAATCAGTTTTATTACATGAAAATATTAATGCGATTTGATCTCGGCCCTTACAAGGTCATCAAAAAGCAAATAGGGCCTACAAAATCACATCAAGAAGAGACAACATAGTTGGGCTGTTCTTTCAAAAAGACTAACAGCAGTTCACTCTGTGGTAAATAGATGTGACCTAAAATTGTATCTCAGATTCCTCAGCAGATTTACTCACCAACACCCAAGCCACAGACACATCTCTCTCAAGCTTAGGTTTCTTTGGTGAAATGTTAACATCATTTCCTTGCCTTGTAAGTTGGGAATTCCTGTAATGACTTCCTCCACCAGTACCCTGGACTTTGAACAGGGTATCCCTCTATCCTGGTGTCCACTGGAAACAAAGTTCAAGAAACCTGAAGTTTTGCTTTGTTGCACCCCACAGCTGCCAGTCTCTGCTGGCCAGACTAGAAAACAGTACAAGTCCTTAAAAAAAAGGATGCTTGGCAATATTTTAGCTTTGAAAGTGGTTCTTTGGTGTGCCCTCAAGTTCCTCGGCCTAACTGCCAAAAGCAGAGGCCTTGGAGAAAGCACAAGACTTCGAGGAAGATGTGAGGATACCTCGGAGACAAGGTACCTCTGGGAAGCTGAGGGCCGAGCAGAACTGGCTTTACCTCCCTCCAGCTTTACCTACGCTGTAAAAACGCCGGGGGTAAGGTGGGTGCTGTCCTTCCCGGGTGCAGCAGTCACCTCCTTGAGGAGCCTCTTCCAGGCAAGGCAAGGGTTGAATTCCTGGAAGGAGAAGGAAGCCCGACCTCCTCATGCAGCTCCCAGGGCCGCCACGGGCTCTGGGCCCCAGCAACAGGCAGGCCTGGAGGGGCGAAGGTTCTAATGAGGCGCGGCAGCGCACGGAGCCAGGCCGAGCTCCACGGCCCCGGCGAACCGGCGGGAGCGGATCACGGCCGGAGCACAAGGACAGAGGCGGAGGGGCCATTTCAGCCTCTTACCGGGTACGGCCGCGCCGCAGAGAAACGAGGCGTTCAGGAACCGGCTGGGGAGGAGGGTCCGGACTCCGGAGAGGCGGCTCCCTTCCTTCCCTCCGTGTGTGACGGACCGCACGCTGCCCGGGGCGGGGCTGAGCAGGGCGCGGAGCGGCTCCAGCACTCGCGGAGCAGCGCCCGCCGCCCACTCGGGTGCCATTGTCCGCCTCGGCGCCGGAACCCTCCAGCGGCCACCGCCTTTGAGCGGGAGAGGGAGCCCCCATTTCCCGGGAAGCCGGGCCGCCGGTGAGGATCCCTCTTTCTCCTTCGGCAGACGTTCCCTTTCCATAGAGGAGGCGAAGAAGGCCGAGGATGGACCTGGATGGGCCGGACGCCGCCCGCCAGGACGCAGAGCTGGAGCACAGCCGCTACCTGAGCCGCCGGGCTGTGGCCCAGGAGCAGCTGGCGCAGTGAGTTCGGCGGCGAGGCCCGGGAGGGGGGCGAGAGGTTTGGGGTAAAAACCTTCCCGTGGGCAGCCCGGCCGGGCGGGACCCGGCTGCACGGCCCGCGCAAACGGGCGGTGGCTCTTGGGCGTGGGATAGCAATGAAACAGGCTCATCAAATTCAATCTAACATTTGAGCCCATACATTGATCATGTTCACTTTTGCTAGTATAGACTTCCCTAGCACCCTCAGACTGGAACTGAGCTTTGGCCAAAGAATTTGGAGCTAGCTTACAGAAACTGATCCTGGTTTTGATCTCTGATATTTTACTTCAAAGTATCAGGGTTTTTTACTGTTAAAGTACCTATAATAATCTCTGTCTGTCTGCTCATTATTACTTAATGCTGTCCCTAGTTCATTTATTCACTCCCTTTTCTGATTCAGAATAAAGGAGCACAAGGATCAAGTGGATCTGGCCAAGGTGGAAAAAAGAAGAGAAGGGGAACAAATACAGCGATCAAACCAATTATACCAACTGGAAATTCAGAGAGAAAAAGAAAAGGAACAGGAGAAAAAAGCTGAATTCCAGAGGCAGCATCATGTAAGTAGCAGAAAAGCAGACAATTCAAAATGCGTATTTCACCTTGGCTGGGATGGCTGGACTTGGCCCACAAATAAAGAGGATTGTTGTGGGCAACAGGGTCTTTGCTGACAGCTTTAGTAGCATGGGATCAAATGCTTACCCTGCCAGTTGCAGGCCATGTCTTTCCTCTGTGCTTTTGAGAAAGACCTCCTGGAAGTTTTAATGTGGCACCTGAGCTTTGACTGGTCTACAACGGACAAAGTCTGCTAGAATCAGCAAGGAGATTGTGCTTGACTTGGAGAGTCCATTTTTCTTTGTTAGGGAGAGGGAATAGCTTGAGTATGACAATATCTTTTAAGCTTGGTCATGACCGACTTAGCACATGTGCTGTTTCCCTGCCAATGCCTGCTGGAACAGGGAAACTGAAGTAGAGGCACTGTGATGATTCATTGCCATGTGAGCAAGCAAAAGAAGAGAATTCCCACTAAAGCTCTACTTGTTTTTTTTTCCTTCCATACTCCTCACCCCAAATACACAAATTTCCCCCCATTTCCCCCCAGCCTTGTATGTACAACAAAAGCTATACATACTGGCAAGCTATACAAGTGCCATTTCTGAGTCATTACAAAATGCCTTATGCTTTACATTTTGATGGTTCTACAGACTTACTGTTTGAGCCCTTCAGAGTCTGCACCATATGAATGATACACGGGATGTGAACAGTACAGTTGGAACCACTGGGAAGGTAGAAGAGAGAAAATAAAGACACTATAAGTCTGGGGCTGCAGCCACATACTAATTTTACTTTTGTTTTAGTTTTTGATAAGTGGATAATGAAATTTTTCTTTTATCTCTGGGTTTCTATCTTCTGTAGCTTCTCCATTGATGTAAAGAACTCTTTATTACAGGGGAGGCCTGAAGTATTTGCTAGAATTTTTTTTAATACATGTTTCTAAAATTTTGTTCTACATGAAAATAAAAGTAGTTTTCCATTTAAACAGGAATACGTAGCTGAACAGAAAATATTTAAAGCTGAAGAGAAAGATAAAGAAGACAAAGATGATGATCGGATTAAGGCTTATATTAAAGGAAAAGAAATGATGGCTGATCTGACAAGAGAAAAATATGCAGAGACTAACAGGTGGGTTCAGGGATAATTTTCAATGTTAAGATTCAAACTTGCAATTTCATTTTGTGACAAACACTATTCTCACTTGTTATATCAGCAAAATCATAACTTCAATGCAAGCAAATTTTCTGTAATTAAAACTTGAAGTAGAAAGAAAAAATGCCTACTAGTTCCAGTAGTAATTGGTGCTGTTGGGTGGAGGTAGGATTGCCGATGTTATTAGAAGGAACAGTTAGCAATTGCCTCTGGTAACCTGAGCAGATGTCCTGGGATGTTACAGTAGCTCATGTTCTCCTGCAGGATGATACAGAAGCATAAGGACAAAGCTTTTGACCAATTAACTGCACAGATGAATGAGACACTTAAGATTGAAGATGATCGTCTTGCTAGAGGAGCTGCAGAGGCAGAAGTCGAGTATCAAATGCAAACTAAAGAGAAAGAAAGTAAAAAAAAGGCTGCCATTGAATCTATTGAAGAACACAGACTCACTGTGGTAAGAAACAGGGGCTGCCCTTGCTCCTCTTTCTGTCATATACTTGTACGTAGGAATAGTGTTTGGAAATGCCATAGTTTCTAGTACAGTCATCTGGAGTGAGACACTTGTAGGTTCTCACCAGTTGTTTCTCATTTGTCATCTAGAGTTTTAGAACTAAATCCTTAAGAAAGGTTGCAAGCAGCATGTGTGGTGATCTTCTCTTCAAAAAAATTACACTGGGAAGGCTCTGTAATTGTTGATAATTTGTGCAAACTCTGCACTGCTTACTGCAGCCAAGGAGCCTGGCCCAGACCACAGCTGGTGACTCTGGTGCCATGCATCAGCAGGCTTCAGCAAGTCTGCTGACACCTTTCCTGGAGTCCCCTCTCCCTTTCCCCCTTCTGTGTTGGGTGCACATCTGCCAGGGCTGCTGAAAACCCGGGCTTGGACACTGGCCAGCCACAGTGACCGTGCTTATCAGAGCACTGATACAGGGCTGCTTCTGCAGGGAGATACAACTTCCAGCTTAGCAGGCCAGCTCTTTGGTTAACTTCTGTGTGTTTTGTAAACTACAGATGAAGTTGAAAGAGGAAAAGGAGAGACAGGAGAAAGAAGAGGATGAGAAGGATCGTAATCAGTGGATGACAGAAAATGGCACCTACCTGGAAATGGAAAAAGCCAAGAAACAAAGACAGCGTGATGCAAACATGGAAGTACAGAAAATTCAACTCCAGCAAATGGTAAATAGAACTGTATACTGTCAGCCCCTTCAGAAAGAAGCACACTAAACCCATAGTATTAGACCTCTTGGGCAAAAGAGAGAGAGAGGGAGAGAGAGAAAGGTTGCTGTGGATGCGCGTATTTCAGTTTGGATTTTACCTGTATGCACTGCAGCTGCTGATGTTGGAGAGGTGACTGTACCCATGGACCACAAGAGGCTTGTTTGTGGAGTGAGAAGGTTACTGCTGAGAACTTGACAATGCACGATATATGTGTTTCAGAGGTTTATGGGCCTCCACATGGAGCAGTAGAACAGAAGTCTCTTCAGCCAGAAGAGACCCATGTGAATCAGGGAGGATTGCTGTGTGGGCTGGTAATAAGAGATCAACAATGACAGATCACATCCTGTCCTGTACCATTACGACATTTTTTCAACCATGCACTGCTGTCCTCTTGTATCTTCTGGGCAGGTCACCAAAGAGCAGCAGCTAATGCTGATGTTCACTCAGCTATTTAATGTACCCTTTCCAGGGAGATATGGCAGAGAAGTGGGGAGGGATGATAAGTGCCAAGTATCTAAGAACGCTGCAGACTCTCTCAGGTTTACAGGATGGTGATGTTGAGAACAAAATACTAAGCTTTGTTATTCCCTTTTCTTTATCAGGCTGAAAAGCAGGCAAGAAAAGAGCAGGAAAAGCAAGCAGACTTGGACTATGATGCTCAGAGAGAGGCTGCTTTTCATCAGGATCGAGCATTTCGGAGATAAAGACAGTGAGTAACTGAATTAGTGCCATTACTGGATATGACTTCTATTCTCTCCAAAACATTCAAGGAATGAACAAGATGTGGGCTTCCTAATTAGGAGAACTGCAAGAATGGTGGAGTGGATAATCTGCAGTATTAAAAACAGTGAAAATTGGAGGGTGGGTGGGTGGGTGAAGATGGTTGATGCAATGCCTTCCTGCCTTATGTACATGAGCCCCCAGCCTACTCAGGGCTGAGAAAACACTTGGCATTTTGCCACGACTTTTAGAGCCTGCTTTGGCCGTCAAAGCTCTGCCTGAGGGCAGGGCCAAGAACTCTCCTCAGGGCCAGCACAGACTGTTATTGTCTTGGTCAGTCCTGCTGTGGTCTGGGCTGCTGAACTGTTTTTGGATACAAGAACATGATTGGGTGGAGCTGACTGACTCTGTACCCATGTCAGTCAGCATGGCCCATTATTCTGTAATGTGAAGCACAGTAAGTAGGAACAATGAAGACTTGTTTCAGAAACTCACTTCTGACCTAAAGTAAAAGACTAACATTGCACTATCAACTAAAAGTCACACAGAATTCTCTTCAATTATCCTGGAGTTACTAATTTTGGAAATTATATATTACAAAAAGAGAAATGGCAATTAACTTGTGAAATTGTCCCTCAGTACTTTTTTCCTTAGTTCACTAATGCAAAACTTGTTTCCCTTCTCTCTGAGCCAGTGCTCATTTTATTACATGAAGATTTTTTTCAGCAAACAGAAAGAATGGAAACTTTTATAAAAGCCTTTTGATGGCAGAAGCTGGAGCCTTAAGAAGTACTGACTACAGCAGGAGTGGTGCTGAAACCTGCAGAGCTCGATAATGCTCCAAATGCATCCCTAAGTGCAAATTTGCACATGCTCACTACTATGCAATTGGTGAGTTAAGTGGGTTTTTAGTCTACCTCCTCAGCAGCAAGAAACAAGTTGGATTGCAACCTCATTTCCTACTCAGCTTCCAGGAATGTGCTGTTCTGCAGATTATGTATGTCTGCATTTGAAGTCTACAGCCTGCTTCCATCAGTTTATACTCCTTTTACTTTGAACATCTAGAGAAAATCCATCAAACTCCAGTACCAAAAAACAACTTTTCACCTAGAATAAAGTGGGAATCCCACATAATTTTAGAGCATGTTGGCTAAATAAAGATTTAGTTAGCCAAATTCAGCATGAAAAAAATTCAGCACCAATCATGATCTCAATTTATTCTATTGACTCTGAGATGCACATGCTTTGTATGCTTGTTTTAAATAACTGATTCTAGTTAGTAATTTTCTGTAAAACCTCTATAAAGCATAGTATGATGACACTAGATCAGAATGGCCAGAGGTGGTGGAATGTCACTGGTAAAAGGTCTCCTGTGTAAAGCAGGAGGCTGGTCTAGCAGCTCACCAGAGTCCTTTTCAGCTGCCATTTAAAGATGGTAACAAAATAGAGGGAGATGAACTGCAGCTGATAAAAGGGAAATTCTTGAACTGGAAGAATCTACTGATTGAGAGGTACCTCTAATTTAATGCCTAGAGCATGCTCTTGTATTAGTTATTAGCTGGAGTCACCATTCCTGCAGGTATTTAGATGTGTAGATGGTGCTTAGGGACATGCATTAGCTAGTGTTGGACTTCAGTACTAGGTTAACAGCTGGACTTGATCTTAAAGGTCTCATCTAAATGATTATATAAAGTTTTAATTAATAGCTAGCAAATCAGAAAATGCATTGAAAAATAATTTGACTAGTAAACTTCAATTACTGGTTTTGCTCAAAAAAGCATCCACTCAGATATTGTTCTGCTTCAGGACATTGCAGCAGATAAGAGTCCTAATACCTAATAGGTATTAGCCTTATTTGAAGACCAAGACCTTAGAAATAAAAGGCAATCCTCAGAGGGACTGAAACAAAGACCTTAAATCAAACTGCATTTTTTCCACACCTGTGATCCAACTCTGTAAGTAAAATAGCAACTTTAGTTTGAACATGTGGGCCTCTAGTGTCTAACCTGGTACTCTCCCAACAGTATTTCAACTCATACCTGTGTGGCAGTACACACGTAAGAGAGTACTCTTTTCATGGATCTAATTCAACTCCCACCTAGGAAATGGAAGAGAACAGCACTCTAAAATGCCTTATATCCCAAGGGAATTTGAATAAACTGCAGCTCTTTAATGCTAGGTAATATTCCAGGTTGGAGTTACTAGATCTGTGCAAATCTTTTAGCATGACAGTCTTTGCTACCAATTAGCTCTGAGGAGGTTTGAAGAGGATACATACCTGGAAACAAATTGTTCATGAACAGAACAGCTGGCACCATGGGACTACTAAGGATGTACATTTTCACATCCCAATACAAACTTGCTCTATGCTTCTGAAAAAGAAAAAAAAATATTTTCAAAGTTTCCTTGTCATGTTAGGTCAAATAAGTTTACTCTGTTTCAACAGCTAAATTCTTCCAAATGTCTGTTATTAACTTAGGCCTTCCTGTTATCTCTTGAATGGAAGAGTGCTGTAACTAGTCTGTAATGTTCCTCCTTGTTCTGGCAGTGTATCCTTGTTTCTGATACTGATCTTCATTCCTGTTCTGGCAGTGTATTTTTGAGAGACAAAAATTCACTATAAATAGCATGCAAAAATCCCCATAATCAGTGAAGGCCAAGACTGTAGAAGGAGGTGAAGGCGAGAGATTTGAGAAGACCATATGAGAGGTCTTATTTGGAACTATCTTAATTTCTGTTTAGAGTAAGTTGTGGTATAGGCTTTGTTAATCTTGTAATGTGTGAAGTCATTGCTTTCACACTACTGCACTACCACCACTTTAACCTAAGCTTCTTTTTGTTTTGGTATATCCTGACTTTGATATTACTATGTATTTAAGTGAATAATGAATGATTCAAATCTGTCCTCCGATCTGGTAAACCAATCTCTAGTAAGCAGTCTTAAGGCAGAGCTGTTTGTAGCTTGTTGACACTGTCTTGCTTGTTGACCAGCATGGCACTTTGTTTTTCTATGGATTGCCTCAACTCCAATACATTATCCAGAGAAATTAACAATTCTGTTGGGTACTGAAGGGCTTGAACATCAGTACTGCAGGTCCAGGAAAATTCAACACTGCGTATCTGTTAATATAACAATTGCACCCCCCCTTTCCCAGTGAGTAGCATCTGGTCTGATTCCTTTTCTGTATAAAAGGAAAATAAGCAAAGGTTAGACAGAAAAAGCAGCACGTACTGAAAAGAAGTGTGTGTTACTGAGCAGACCAAGAAAAATTCAACAACTGACACAGTGGACAAGGGAAAAGTTTGGAACTATCTTTGGTAAAGCTTATAAGTATTTCTGCATTAGTTTCAGCTACAATTAGTGCATATACAATTAATAGAAGCTACTAATTATACACTTAAACTGTTTCTTTTTTCTTTATAAATACATTTGACCACTACAGAAGCATCTACAATGGACTAAGAAGCTAGCCACTCTCTCCTTTCAAGTTCTGTGTGCCTGCAAAACCAATCAGTGCCCAACAGCAGAAGCTAACTGTGGACCAAGTTACAAGACATGCTATTTGCTAGAACCTGCCTATAACTCAAGCTCAAGAAGTGCCTAGCTTGCAACTGTACTGTAGTCTAATATTTTTATGGAACAAAGCAGTAGATTCTTTTCAGAAAGTCAAGAGGTAACAACCAAAGGTAAACTATCAGTTCATATGTACTGTACTCCTTGAATATTGCTGGGCCTCCAGGCTTAATTCAAGCTTTTTGACTTGAAAAAAAAAATCTTATCGAGCAATCAAAATTGAGTACATCTGCCTGTAACAATAAAATCCATGTTGACTGTACCTTTTACTTGTGACAGTTTTCTACTTTTACTTTGGAGACTGCAATGGGAGGTAGAAATAGTATCTTGAGAAATTGTGGCATTGGCTGAGTCTTTTAATCCCTTATGGGAGATGTCTGCAGCAAGACTGTATCTAGCACTCCAGCTAACCTGGCTGACTACAGGAAATGGGAAGAACACTCTTCTGTCATCTCCTAAGCACTCTGCTGCCAACCAGCCAAGCTGTGATACTGCTGTAGGTGACTTTTTGATTGAAAATTGTTTTTTCACTCAGTTCTAAACTGACTGTAAGCTGTGTTACTACTCCATTTACATTCATGTTGAACAGATAATTCTTCTGTAACTAGTGAAAACTATTCGGCTTCACATTCATAAACAGACACAAAGACTTGCATTTTTTCAAGTACAAGACCATAGCTGGCAACAAGCAGTTTGCAATTAAGACACCAGGTCAGCTTCATTACATGGTTACATTTTTATATGTTACCATATAGTAATAATAGACTGTCACTTGTCGTTCTGTTGTAGAAATTCTTAATTGTACCTGCTATTTTACACAATCATCTAATGCAACATGGAATAAAAATCTTAACTTCACATAGTCAGTAAAAATGTATCCATCTTCGTTTAACTGAGGAGGTCATATCCTGACATCAAATAACTCTGCCTTGTAAATCTGTACTCAAAGTATCAGCCCTTTAGAAGGCTGGAGGTTGGCCAAGCACATTTGCCCTTAGAGCATGGTGCCAGTGATGCTGAGCTCGTGGGTTTGGTTCCTGTGTGGCCCACTCAGCTAAGAGCTGACCTGCTGATTCTTGTGGACCCTTGGAATATTCTGTGCATTTACAAGCACAGGCTGCCCAATATGACTTAGAAATGATTATTTCTCTAAATACAGACGATGCTAATACTGCAAGAAGCATATGGGGCAGATGTGGACTATGCTAACAAATAAGCAAAAAAAGCATTTATTTCTGAGAACTACTTTACTGCACAACTTGTACATTTCAAATCAAGAGCTCATTCTCCCAGTTTACAACTGAATAATCTTCCCTGTTACGAACTATAAACTACAAAATGTGCAGAAGACTAAGATTAATTACAAAATACTCTACTAAATGCTACATGCACAATACTGCTGGTATAATTAACAATTCTTTTAGCTGAAGGAACCCAGTTACCAGCTACTTCATCTCACCACTGTTCATAATTTAATATGCCTAAATTCTATCCAATCCTTTCATCCACTCTTTCAATAGCAGTTATGGCTAAAGCCACATACAGACTACCTTTTATAATGGGGATATGTAGCCATGTCTAGCTTCCTGCCAAAAATAGAAAGTGTCCTTAAGTGCTTTACATATTGCAAAATTTAAATTCAAAATCAGGGTGCTGCATTAATTCAGTTTATTTAGTCCTTTTAATGTCTTAGAGCTTCTGTGAATACAAATAAAAATGTAAAACCAATCATATACATATTCAGCAGTTCAAGATTTCTCTTCTGATCTTATGCATGTTAATTTCCCTATTAGTTTTATTTGAACAATGACTTTACGATTTAGTAATTTACTAATTACTTCACAAAATATACCTTTACCTTTATGTAGTTTTACTATCTAAACTCGTCACTTTTAAAATATTTTATAACTGCTATTCCTTTTGTGAAATTTCATACTAGAACTAGAAAACTTATTTTCATATGATACTTTAAAAAACCCCAAACAATTAACATTACACTTGGCCTTTACACAACAAAATTTTGTCGAATAAGTGCTCCTAATGACATGAGTTGTTTAAGGGTGAGAAGCAAGAGTTAAACTCTAAGTACATGAGCAGCAAAATGGAAAGCTAAAATCTTATGCTAGGTAACTGCAGAACTGTACCAAATTCAAATTTTGCAAAATGCAGTTCACAGACTTTTCAATGTGTATTTTCTTTAATAATTTAGTTAAACACTGCATTAGGAAAATTACTATTTTCAGCAAAGGGAAGGTACATAACAGTTGTTTACATTTCCATTACACTGAAGTGCCACATCTAGAAGTGTGGCTGACAACTGCCCAATCGCAAAAAAACCCCCCTCCAAAACAAAATGAACAACCCCCAAAAAGAACACTTTAATGGCTACTCCTTTTATAAAAGTATAGCATTTATATCATTAGGTTTTCTATTATAAGGAAAGTCCTAAAAGCAGGAATATACATTTTTTGCTTATCACAAAAGCAATGAGTCTACCATGCCCCTAGAGGTGTTTCCAAAAATACTTTATTTGCTTCAATAAATCAACAGTTCCAGAAAAAGCAGCTAAAGGACTGCTTCTTTTGTTTACATTAACCTAAAATCCATTTGCCAGGCTGACACTATTACAAATTAGACATTATTGGGGATCACTGCAAATTCTTCAACGCATCTGACAAAGAACACTGCAAGAAAAGCCTGTAGTCTGGGATTTCAAGTACAAAGTGCAAAGTTTTAGGCTAAAATTCTAACAACCAAATATAACAAAGCATTAAAATGTAATAACCGTCTTTTATCTTTCTTAAAAACAACAAACTAAAACGAACAGAACAACTGAAACACTATGGCTGTGTTAAAAGAATTAGCAGACAGCAACACATTTTTTACAGGTAATAGTGTCTACATAATTGTACATTCTATCTACCCACACTCACCAAGAATTTTTGCTTCTGAGTTGATGGCAGTACCCAGAGAATCCAGTATAAAATAACAGTCTCTTTCTAGTAAAGTTTGGAAAGCCACTGTCAATTATAAATTCAGCATTCCAGGTATCTATATGTTGCATGGCATTAGTAAAATCTCAGCATCTATGGTCGGTATAACAGAGAATGCATGTCTAACCTTTGGAAGTTATTTCAAGCCTGTATGGACAATTAAACGTACACTTACAAAGTTAATCCCTGCCCTCATTTTACATTGTGTCTTGAGGTTCATTAATTCCCAGGAGTAAGGTCAGTTCTGGGGTACCAGCAGAAAAAGCTGTACTCCTCTACTTTTTTCCTGCATTCACAAGGAAAGATCATGAGCATTGTTTTTACTGCCTCTGGAATACCTAAAGTCTTCTAAATCGGTCCTCTGAGCCAAAAGCCAATGAATGACCTGACACAGATGTCAAAGATGGCACTGAGCTATACTGTGACTACAGCACACGGTGGCTACTGTGAGGCTGGGAACAGGAAAGCTCCTGTCACTGAGGGAATAAACAGTTCCAGGACTGCAAGAGCAACAGTCAGTGCCTCCTCACAGGGCAGCAAGAACTGACTAGTGCTTGGGGATATCTTGCTGTCCCTGAGACTGAGCTTTAGTCCCACCAAGTTCTTAACCAACATTCTCAATTTCCAGTTTGATAAAGAAAAGCACAAATTTGGCAAGGCCTCCCTTGTACAAGACTGCAATTGTGTTTCAGTTTAAACAAAATGCTCCCCACTAAACCGATTTACCACCAAATACAATACAGGCAACTATATCCCACCACCAGCAATTTAGTGTAGCCAGCTTTTAAACAAAACCAAAGTCTATTAAGAACAAGAATATGGGCTTTATGCCACCAACTCAGATTAATTTTTAATGTGCTATAAAAGAATTAAAGTCCATTTAACTTGTGCAAATAATTTTATGAACTGTAACAAAGTCCATACAAAAGGGTATGCAAGTGCATGTTTTAAAATAAGTAGTTACAGCTGCAAACTACAGTTGGATATAATCTCCATTTTGAGATTTTAAATTAAACACAATTAAAAAAAAATATTCTATGATTGTTGCATTGCTGACTGCCTGTATTTTACCCCCTTCTTCTATAGCAGAGTCAGTATAGTTGTGGATTGTTTTGTTCACATGCTCATACAAGCTTCAGTGATATTGGCAAGAATATTCTCAGTAGTGCAAATAAACTTCTTCAACAATAGCTTGCTCTTGTATCAGCTCTATTAAAAATAATGAAACAACATTGCAGACAGTTTTCAAATGAGACTCTGAAGGACATGGCATGCATAGCACAGTATAAATGCATGGTTAAGCTGCCACACATTTTCTGAAGCCCAACTTCCTACCTTTATTCTTATTACAGTCCTCCAAAATAGGACAACTTCTCCAAAGTCCTACGAAATTCAGAAAGAGATCCACTATAAAGGTCTTTGGTTCAGTCCACTGAGTTCTCTTAAATAACAGCTGTGTTATCCACCCACACGTGGACCAGGAACATTTTTAAACATTCTGCGTAAAATGACCACTGAAATGCAAAATCCACAGGAGGTGTTTCTAAAACATAGTAAAAACGGAAAAAAACACTTGAGAGCCAAAGCAGCTCCACTAACTATTCTGCTAAAAAGTCACTCTACGCATTTCCAGTTTTCTTCCTTTAAAAACATCACTTATGTTGTTCACAATCCTAGGTTTTCTTTTGCTTTCAAGACACAACTATTCTTTAGAATAACTGTCTGGGTAACAATTTTAAGCAAGTTTTCACATATCTCCTAATCTGCTGTAAACAAACACTGATCACAAAGTGCATTATAAAGTGAAAACGTTGACAAACTCATTACAAAGACAGTAAAAGCAAGTTGTGTCACTCAGTGAAAGATTTGG